CGAGCTGACCCAGTCCTCCCAGAGAAAGAGCCCCGGTCGGGCGCTGGCCGCACGCTTCCACTGCTGGCCCATTATGCGCTCCTGGAGGCCTGGCAGCACCCGGCCCAGGGAGGGGGATGCTGACCACAGCAGCAGTGACAGCTGGAACAACAACAACGCCAGGCTGTCAGTGGACCACTCAGGCTCGTCTGAGGACGAGGAGGGAAACGGTAGAGGGATGATGCCTCAGGACCGCGCCATCTTCTCAATAGTCCTCAACCTGCCGGGGATGAAGGCAGCCGTCAACTCCCACCTCACCTCCTGCGAGGACCTGGACCTAGCCTCAGAAGAGGACCCCCTTAGGGGGGAGGAGGACAGCCGGGACGGCCTCTCTACCACCACCACTACTACCACCCCTGATGGGGCCAACACAGACAACAGCAGCTACCACCAACGCTTCCCCTCCCGGATCTCCAAAGTCCAGTCCATGCCTGCCCTACAGGCCACCAGAGTGGGGCCGCTCTCTGGCTCCTCTGCCACCACCACCAAATCACCCTCGGCGCCCATCTCCTTCAAAGACGCAGCTCTAGCCAAGAGATTCGCCTCCAGGGCTCGGACGCAGATCACCAAGCGCAAGCGCATGTCTCTGGTGAAGGAGAAGAAGGCGGCACAGACCCTCAGCGCCATCCTGTTTGCCTTCATCATCACATGGACACCCTACAACATCATGGTGCTGGTCAACACCTTCTGTAATGGCTGCATCCCCGAGGCTCTGTGGGCGCTGGGCTACTGGCTGTGCTACGTCAACAGCACCGTCAACCCCATGTGCTACGCCCTGTGCAACAAGACCTTCCGCACCACCTTCAAGATGATACTGCTCTGTCGCTGGGACCAGCGCAAGCGGCGGCGGAAGCAGCAGTTCCAGGAACGGCAGTCCGTAGTGTTCCACAGGAGAATTCCTAAAGACTCAACGTAGCGGGATATAGACCCAGTGGGAATCTGGTGATGATGATGATGATGATGATGAGTCTGGGATCTGACAGGACAGTGGATGGATGATGCATCCTAAAGGTTCTGTCTGTGGTTTCTAACTGCACAGAGATTCCCAGGGATGCGGCCATGTTGTTGCTGTGATGTCTGATGTTCTTTATGGAGTCACAACCTCCCCAGTGACATATTCCTCTGTTTCTTCAAGAGAGCTCCTGTGGTGAAAGCTTCCTCTAGATCATTCTCAGCGTTTCAGAGAAGTGCAGCTGAAAGAACTGACAGTGAAAACCAATAGAACAAGGGCTTTAAATGCAATGAGGGGACAATTCAAAGTGCAATTGATACCTAGGGAGATAATATGATATAATATGTGTTATGGATTTGGGGTTTTCCATTTCTTACCATTTCTTTCTCAGTGGTAGAGCTGTATCGTACAGAGCAGTTGGGGGTTTCAAAGTAAACTGTACATCTGTTATATCAAATAGAAAACCAAGGCCAAAACATTGTGCATTGGCTAACTGAACTTGATTTATTTGTTCCTTTTTTACTCTGACTTCTGTACATTGACTTCCACTTGGATATAGCTTTCTTGTGTCTTATAAAATGAGAGGATTTAAAACAAAACGGTGTCCTATTTGTGACTACCAGTGTTTCACAGTTGTTGGGTATTTTTGTGTAATAAATTGGTCTATAGATTTTTGTCTATAGATTGTGAGCCAGTCTGAAAATATTTCTGAGTACCTCAGTAAGCTGGTATTCTGTTCAATGTGAGTTGTGGTTTACATGCTCGAGACAGTAAATGTTATTCAATTGTTGTTTATTTACCTGAGGTTTTTGAGTAATGGTAATATGATATTTCTAACTTGATACCTAATTATTGATTGTACACTAAAGAGAGCCGTCATTATGAATTGTAATGTTTTGATTATTGGATAATATTTTTAAAGGTTTGTCCATTTCTTCTCACTTGTTGTCCAAATGTAATTCCCTTAGTAAAATATTGGTCTGTGGTCCCTAGATGAAGGCTCTAGCTCCTAGTGGATTTAGCAGTGCCACAGCAGCATCTGCTGGATGAATAGAATTCTACACTCTAGTAACTTCCAGCTTACTTCCATCAGGGAAATGATGTTGTGGATCCATAAGACAGTGGGAGATTCTGAGTTGGGTCAAAGTCTGTCCTCTCCTCCTCCGTCCTCCTCTGCTCGGTGACCCGGAAACCGAAAAGTGGTAGGAGAGTTTCAATTCGGAGGATGCTCAGCTGCATCCTTTACGCAGAAGAGTTTTGAAATCTGCCACACCCCCTTTGAAACAGCATTTGTTTTCTCAGAGGAGAAAAGCATGCACACATTTAAAAAAGGATACACTACTTATCCTTTTATCTATAAAATGTCTAGCTCAACTCGCTACATATTTACCACTTTACATTTTACATTTAAAATTTACATCATTTAGCAGACGCTCTTATCCAGAGCGACTTTACACAGGTATTTTGGGATTCCACCTCTGTAAACGTCATTTGCATGATGCGTTAGAGAGAGGAGAGTCTCATTTCATATAAGCGTCATGTTTCCACGTTTTCTCTCCTTGCCTCCTCTCCTCAATTCTCTATGAGCTTTTTCAAAAGGAGGTGAGGAGAGGACGGAAGAGAGGAATGGAGAAAATCCAATTGAGATTCTCTCATAGAATCCCGTAGCTGAGAATAGGTATGAAACTTAAAAGACAATGGTTAGACTAGCTTAGACCTGCTACATATAGCAAATGGATGGTTTGACTAGCTTAGACCTGCTACATATGGCAAATGGATGGTTTGACTAGCTTAGACCTGCTACATATGGCATATGGATGGTTTGACTAGCTTAGACCTGCTACATATGGCAAATGGATGGTTTGACTAGCTTAGACCTGCTACATATGGCAAATGGATGGTTTGACTAGCTTAGACCTGCTACATATGGCAAATGGATGGTTTGACTAGCTTAGTCCTGCTACATATGGCAAATGGAGCTGAAAAGTGGTGCTCTTTTCATCTTACATCACAAAGCCAGTGATTTCCAAAATTGAACATTTCCGTCAGTTGTACATCAAGTTATTTGACCGTGCAAACAGTGTGATTTAAAGTGATTTGTCTACATGTTTTCAATAACACCCAATGCTAAACAATGGAATAGCTCCATTTAAAAATGTATTGCCATACTATGTGATGCACCATGTTTCAGGCCTGAACCGGATGAATACCGAGAAAAAAGAGAGAGAAAAAACATTATTATTTTTATGTATGGATTTTGCTGTTTAAGTGTATGTATTACACTTAGGTTTGTAAATGGATAGTGAAAGCAAATAACATACATGTACCACAGGCATGTTGAGTGACGACTATGTGATATTGAGTAGAATGGCAGAATGCTACCATGTGGTGTAACACTTTCTAATAACGCTCAGACAGAATGTTATTATAAAGTGTTACCCAGTGGGTTATGTAAGCCAGATAAAGATGAAAGATGAGAGAAATTATTTACTGTCTGAACTGCCAACAGATATTTATTCTGCTTTCAACACCATGTGCTACAGTGTTATTATACTCCTGATAAAGTGAGGTGTTTATGTTTGGGATGTGAACTACCTGACGTAAGATCAAATTAATAGCAAAATATAACTTTAATTGTTTTTTGTTACATTTCAAGTATGCTAATCGTACCCATGTTTTAAGTGAATAAACACAAATATTTTTATTGACAGATATGGTCTGTATCATATTTACCGCCCAAAAACATTTTCATTTGAATGTTTATGAAATCATTGTTTTCCTCCAGTGTCTGAGTGATATTTGCAATCACACAATAATGAAGAAGATGACAGTGCAGTGCACTGCTGTAGGCCTACTGTACAATTAAAGTAGAAGGACCCGTTTGTATAGATGGTGATGGATTTGTTCGGGAACAAGAATCTCTAATGTCTTAGCAGATTAGTAGGAGCATGCCAGTTAATACACTGTAGATTGTCATCAATAGTATCACAGTAGCAATATGCATCAGTGCATTAGTGGGAGAATGCATCAGTGCATTAGTGGGAAAATGCATCAGTACATTAGTGGGAGAATGCATCAGTACATTAGTGGGAAAATGCATCAGTGCATTAGTGGGAGAATGCATCAGTGCATAAGTGGGAAAATGCATCAGTACATTAGTGGGAGAATGCATCAGTGCATTAGTGGGAGAATGCATCAGTGCATTAGTGGGAGAATGCATCAGTACATTAGTGGGAAAATGCATCAGTGCATTACATTTACATTTACATTTTAGTCATTTAGCAGACGCTCTTATCCAGAGCGACTTACAGTTAGTGAATACATGTTTTTTTTTATACTGGCCCCCCGTGGGAATCGAACCCACAACCCTGGCGTTGCAAACGCCATGCTCTATCAACTGAGCTACATCCCTGCCGGCCATTCCCTCCCCTACCCTGGACAACGCTGGGCCAATTGTGCGTCATCCATGAGTCTCCCGGTCGCGGCCGGCTGCGACAGAGCCTGGATTCGAACCAGGATCTCTAGTGGCACAGTTAGCACTGCGATGCAGTGCCTTAGACCACTGCGCCACTCAGGAGCCCCACTGCGCCTCAGGAGCCCCTCCCATTAGTGGGAGAATGCATCAGTGCATTAGTGGGAGAATGCATCAGTGCATTAGTGGGAGAATGCATCAGTGCATTAGTGGGAGAATGCATCAGTGCATTAGTGGGAGAATGCATCAGTGCATTAGTGGGAGAATGCATCAGTGCATTAGTGGGAGAATGCATCAGTACATTAGTGGGAGAAGCAGCTACCTAACGCATTCACTTTCAGACAGGAACACTTTCCACTTTGTCAAAGTATAACACTTTCCGTAGGCTTAACATTCAACAAACACTTAGTTGTAGTTTTAAAAAGTTTGGAAAATGTGTTTTGCTTCTTAACATCCTTGCATTGCATTTTGTTATGTTTAAATTCTTCATTGGTCTTCATGGGAACCATGCATGCTCCTCCGTTGCGCACATTTGTCATGAACGCTTCCGCCACAGCGCACCCAACCACCGTAAGTGTCTGCAGGAGGCTGATGAGACCATCGAGGCTGTGAACTCAAAGTGAGCCTCTCTGGAGAAGACCAAGCAGAGGCTGCAGGGAGAGGTGGAGGACCTCATGATTGACGTGGAGAGGGCCAAAGCCTTGGCCGCCAACCTCGACAAGAAGCAGAGGAACTTTGATAAGATCCTAGCAGAGTGGAAGCAGAAGTTTGAGGTGGGCCAAGCTGAGCTGGAAGGAGCTCAGAAGGATTCTCGCTCTCTCAACACTGAGCTCTTCAAGATGAAGAACTCCTATGAGGAGGATCTGGATCAGCTGGAGACCCTGAAAAGGGAGAAAAAATAATCAGCAAGATGAGAAAACTACAACAAAATTGCATGTTAGCCATGTATGTCCCCTGAAAATCTCCTTATTATAAAGCGATTTTGTGTTTGTGTGTGCAGAGGAGATGTCACGGTCGTCGAGGAGTGAAGGAGACCAAGGCGCAGCGAGTGAAAAGAACATGTTGACTTTATTTACTTAAAGCAACCAAAAACAACAAACCAAAGCGACGAATGTGAAGTCCAATAGTGACAAAGACTAAACAGGAACAATAACCCACAATGCCCACAGGAAAACATGCAGATTAAATATGGCTCCCAATCAGAGATAACGAGCCGACAGCTGACACTCGTTACCTCCGATTGGGAGTCAATGACCAAACCTAGAAATAAACGTGACAGAAATGCAAACATAGAAAATCACCCAAAACCCAACAAAACACAATACACCCTGGCTCAAATACAAAAGTCCCGGAGCCAGAGTGTTACAGGAGATCTCTGACCTGACTGAACAGATCGGAGAGACTGGCAAGAGCATCCATGAGAAGGCCAAGAAGACTGTGGAGACTGAGAAGTCAGAGATCCAGACCGTTCTGGAGGAGGCTGAGGTAGAGCCCACTGCTGTTCCATAAGTATAAACACATTAAAGTGTTACAGTTTGAAAATGCTGTATGAACACATTTTAACGGAGAAGGACGAGGAGATGGAAAGGTTAAAGAGAAATAGTCAGAGGTTGGCAGAGTCCATGCAGAGCAGTCTGGACTCTGAGGTCCGCAGCAGAAACGACACCATGAGAGTGAAGAAGAAGATGGAGGGAGACCTGAACGAGATAGATATCCAGCTGAGCCACTCCAACAGGAAGACCGCCGAAGGCCCAGAAACAGCTAAGGAACGTCCAGGGACAGCTCAAGGTACAGAAGCCATGACATCAGGTTAAAAAACCCTGAAGATAGTGAGGGAATTGTCTTGATCTATAGCAAATAATGACTTAAATCATTTTATTCTGCAAGTAGCATACAGTGTCCACAAATGATGGTTTGGGCCAGTTGCTCGAGGGTCTTCCTTGAGTTCTGTGAGTTTTCTAGAATGCAATGTAGTCCCTATATGTCATTGTCCCAGAATGCCGCTGAAGACATGAAGGAGCAGGCTGCCATGGTTGACCGCAGGAACTCTCTGATGGTGGCTGAGACAGAGGGGCTGACAGTTGCTCTGGAGCAGACAGAGAGAGGCCGCATAGTGGGCGAGCACAAGCTGGTAGACACCAGCGAGCGTGTGGGACTGCTGCACTCCAAGGTAATAAGAGTCAAATGTAATTCCCAGTTCCCATCATGTGACTTGTACATAGTTTTTTCTTGAGATTGTGTTATTGACTGTACGTTTTGTTTACCCCATATGTAACTCTGTGTTGTTGTTTTTATCGCACTGCTTTGCTTTATTTTGGCCAGGTCGCAGTTGTAAATGAGAACTTGTTCTCAACTGGCCTACCTGGTTAAATAAAGGTGAAATAAAAAACATTAAAATAAAAAAAAGGTCCAACTAAACATAATATAATATTACTCCTCCAGGACACTAGACTTCTGAACACCAAGAAGACGCTGGGGACTGACCTGGTGGCAGTGCAGGGAGAGGTGGATGACATCGTCCAGGAGGCCAGGAACACAGAGGAGAAGGCCAAGAAGCATATCACTGATGTGAGTCCTCATAATGTGGCTTGTATTGTAGTCTACAACCCCAGGCAAACATCTCAGAGGACTCCCTTCTAGAGAATGTATGTATGATGATCCTAGCCGAATACACAATACAACCTGATTGTCCAATTTGCATCAGAAATGCATATGTTTTATTCCCCGACCTCCAGGATAATCTTCTGACCTGCATGCTACCTATTGTTCCAGGCGGCTATGATGGCTGAGGAGCTGAAGAAGGAGCAGGACACCAGCTCTCACCTGGAGCGGATGAAGAACCTGGAAGTCACAGTCAAGGACCTGCAGCACTGTCTGGATAAGGCTGAGAACCTGGCCATGAAGGGTGGCAAGAAGCAGCACCAGAAACTGGAGGGCAGGGGGAGTTAGCAGTGATTCTGGCATTTTGAGTTTTATGTTCAATTGTAGCATATTATAGGGAAGAATATAGCAATTCTCAGGCTTATACAGATACCCAATAATATCTTGGTGATTATGATGGTTATGATGCCAAGTATAAAAGCCAGTATATGAAGCCTTTTTTTAAATATTTTGATTGAATATTGATTACAACTTCTCAAACATTGTGTCCATGTCCCCTGTGCTACAGGTGCATGAGCTTGAAACTGAGGTGGAGGCAGAGCAGAGAAGAGGTGTGGATGCGGTCAAGGGAGTCCGCAAGTATGAGCGCAGAGTCAAGGAGCTCACCTACAAGGTAAGAGAAACACCTGCACACACTCACTCACACACACACACACACACACACACACACACATGACTTGTGGGCTTTGACTATTCTCTCACACACAGACTGAGAAAGATAAGAAAATCGTTGGCAGACTGCAGGACCTGGTGGACAAGCTGCAGTTGAAAGTGAAGGCCTACAAGAGGCAGGCTGAGGAAGCGGTGAAGTACTAGGAGAATCATTGCATTGTTATTATCTGGTTCTCTCCCTCTCTAATTTTCTCCCTCTCTCCTTCTCTCTTCTTGTATCCTCTTCCTCTGTCCCTCTCACCTTCTCCCCCTCCAAGGAGGAACCATCCAACTCTCACATGTCAAAGTTCAGGAAGGTGCAGCATGAGCTGGATGAGAAAGAGGAGCGTGCTGACGTTACTGAGACCCAGGTCAACAAGCTTATGGCCAAGGGCCGCGACGCCGGACAGGAACACACTACTGATCTGCTGTTAAACCTAGGCTGCATCGGAAATGGCACCCTATTCCCTGTATAGTGCACTCCCTTTGACCAAGACCCATAGCGCATAGGGTGCTATTTCAGACGCAGCCCAACACTTACTATATACCAAATATAACCTCATCAGTAGGCTACCACTTGATGGTTCAGTGTACACAGAGGTCGATATTGACCTAATAACTTTATTGGAGCATAATGACTTAGAGGTCTCTGAGAAACCTATACTTAGAGGATATTGATACAGTTTCTAATGTTAAAGAATATGGGACGATTCCTTCTAAATTGATACTCGAAATTTAAATCAAAGCTGAGCACAGAGGCTTACAAAGGAGTACCCTATCACATCCATTGTATTCTTTCAAGTGTTCATGTGTTTTGAGTGAAAGGATACTATTGATCTCTTATTTTCACTTCCTTCTTACAGGTTATAGCAGTTGAAGCTGAATAAACAATACTATCTCCTTTTGTTTGTTTAATGAAAATATGATTTTTTTTCATGGGGAAATTCAGATCAATCATTAAACATGTGTGAACACGCTAGTCTCCTTGGTGACTCTGTGGATATGCCACACTAGGCTCCTTGGTGACTCTGTGGATATGCCACACTAGGCTCCTTGGTGACTCTGTGAATTTGCCACACTAACCTCCTTGGTGACTGTGGATTTGCCACACTAATCTCCTTGGTGACTCTGTGGATTTGCCACACTATTCTCCTTGGTGACTCTGTGGATATGCCACACCAGCTCCTTGGTGACTGTGGATTTGCCACACTAGTCTCCTTGGTGACTCTGTGGATTTGCCACACTAGCCTCCTTGGTGACTCTGTGGATTTGCAACACATGTCTCCTTGGTGACTCTGTGAATCTGTGGTGACTCTGTGGATTTGCCACACTAGTCTCCTTGGTGACTCTGTGGATTTGCCAAACTAGGCTCCTTGGTGACTCTGGATTTGCCACACTAGGTTCCTTGGTGACTCTGTGGATTTGCCACACTAGACTCCTTGGTGACTGTGGATTTGCCACACTAGGCTCCTTGGTGACTCTGTAGATTTGCCACACTAGGCTCCTTGGTGACTCTGTGGATTTGCCACACTAGTCTCCTTGGTGACTCTGTGGATTTGCCACACAAGTCCCCTTGGTGACTCTGTGGATTTGCCACACTATTCTCCTTGGTGACTCTGTGGATATGCCACACCAGCTCCTTGGTGACTCTGTGGATTTGCCACACTAGTCTCCTTGGCGACTCTGTGGATTTGCCAAACTAGGCTCCTTGGTGACTCTGGATTTGCCACACTAGGTTCCTTGGTGACTCTGTGGATTTGCCACACTAGACTCCTTGGTGACTGTGGATTTGCCACACTAGGCTCCTTGGTGACTCTGTGGATATGCCACACCAGCTCCTTGGTGACTCTGTGGATTTGCCACACTAGTCTCCTTGGTGACTCTGTGGATTTGCCAAACTAGGCTCCTTGGTGACTCTGGATTTGCCACACTAGGTTCCTTGGTGACTCTGTGGATTTGCCACACTAGACTCCTTGGTGACTGTGGATTTGCCACACTAGGCTCCTTGGTGACTCTGTAGATTTGCCACACTAGGCTCCTTGGTGACTCTGTGGATTTGCCACACTAGTCTCCTTGGTGACTCTGTGGATTTGCCACACAAGTCCCCTTGGTGACTCTGTGGATTTGCCACACTATTCTCCTTGGTGACTCTGTGGATATGCCACACCAGCTCCTTGGTGACTCTGTGGATTTGCCACACTAGTCTCCTTGGTGACTCTGTGGATTTGCCACACTAGCCTCCTTGGTGACTCTGTGGATTTGCAACACATGTCTCCTTGGTGACTCTGTGGATCTGTGGTGACTCTGTGGATTTGCCACACTAGTCTCCTTGGTGACTCTGTGGATTTGCCAAACTAGGCTCCTTGGTGACTCTGGATTTGCCACACTAGGTTCCTTGGTGACTCTGTGGATTTGCCACACTAGACTCCTTGGTGACTGTGGATTTGCCACACTAGGCTCCTTGGTGACTCTGTAGATTTGCCACACTAGGCTCCTTGGTGACTCTGTGGATTTGCCACACTAGTCTCCTTGGTGACTCTGTGGATTTGCCACACTAGTCTCCTTGGTGACTCTGTGGATTTGCCACACAAGTCCCCTTGGTGACTCTGTGGATTTGCCACACTAGTCTCCTTGGTTACTCTGTGGATTTATTACACCTTGACACAGCACTATACCCACAGCTTGGAAACAAACTATTACATATAGGGTTGAGCAAATGTAGACATCCAAAATGATCTGAACAATGAAGATCGCAAATTATCCATCAATTAGTAATTGTATAATTACAAACAATAGATCTCATCACTCATGAATGTGGTCTTCTATTGCTCAGATTGTAGAGCATGGTGCTTGTAACGCCAGAAGAGTGGTTTCAATTCCCGGGACCACGTTAAATAACATATTCTCTGTACAAGTTAAACGTTTTTATTCATAAAATACCAGAGAGCAAACATTCTGAAATACTTGAAATGTACAGATTAAAAGACTTCAGATATCTGACTTCACCTTACAATTATATGATATTGACAAATAAGTACATTTACAGTGCCTTTGGAAAGTATTCAGATCCCGTCACTTTTTCCACATTTTGTTACGTTAAAGCCTTATTCTAAAATTGATTAAATTATTATTTTTCCTCATCAATCTACACACAATACCCCATAATGCCAAAGCGAAAACAGGTTTTTAGAAATTATTGCTAATTTACTAAAATAAGAAAACAGAAATATCTTATTTACATAAGTATTCAGCTATGAGACTCGAAATTGAGCTCAGGTGCATTCTGTTTCCATTGATCATCCTTGAGATGTTTCTACAACTTGATTGGAGTCCAAATGTCATAAATTCAATTGATTGGACATGATTTGGAAAGGCACACACCTGTCTATATAAGGTCCCACAGTTGACAGTGCATGCCAGACCAAAAACCAAGCCATGGGGTCGAAGGAATTGTCTATAGAGGTTCGAGACAGGATTCTGTCGAGGCACAGATCTGGGGAAGGGTACCAAAAAATGTCTGCTGCGTTGAAGGTCCCCAAGAACACAGTGGCCTCCATCATTCTTAAATGGAAGAAATTTGGAACCACCAAGACTCTTCCTAGAGCTGGCCGCCTGGCCAAACTGAGCAATCGGAGGAGAAGGGCATTGGTCAGGGAGGTGACCAAGAACCAGATGGTCACACTGACAGAGCTCCAGAGTTCCTCTGTGGAGATGGGAGAACCTTCCAGATGGACAACCATCTCTGCAGCACTCCACCAATCAGGCCTTTATGGTAGAGTAGCCAGACAGAAGCCACTCCTCAGTAAAAGGCACGTGAGTTTGCCAAAAGGCACCTAAAGACTCTCAGACCATGAGAAACAAGATTACCTGGTCTGATGAAAGAAAGATTGAACTCTTTGGCTTGAATGCCAAGCATCACGTCTGGAGGAAACCTGGCACCATCCCTACGGTGAAGCATGGTGGTGGCAGCATCATGCTGTGGGCATGTTTTTCAACGGCAGGGACTGGGAGACTAGTCAGGATCGAGGAAAATATGAACGGAGCAAAGTACAGAGAGATCCTTGATGAAAACCTGCTCCAAGCGCTCAGGACCTCAGATTGGGGCGAAGATTCACCTTCCAACAGGACAACGACCCTAAGCACACAGCCAAGACAATGCAGGAGTGGCTTCAGGACTAGTCTGTGAATGTCCTTTAGTGGCCCAGCCAGAGCTTGAACCCGATCGAACATCTCTGTAGAGACCTGAAAATAGCTGTGCAGCGACGCTCCCCATCAAACCTGACAGCGCTTGAGAGGATCTGCAGAGAAGAATGGGAGAAACTCCCCAAAGACAGGTGTGCCAAGCTTGTAGCGTCATACCCAAGAAGACTTGAGGCTGTAATCGCTGCCAAAGGTGCTTCAACAAAGTACTGAGTAAAGGGTCTGAATACTTATGTAAATGTAATATTTTAGTTTTCTATTTGTAATATATTTGCACAAACTTCTAAAAACCTGTTTCTGCTTTGTCATTATGGGGTATTGTGTGTAGGTTGATGAGGAATATAAAACAATTTAATCCATTTTAAAATAAGGCTATAACGTAACAAAATGTGGAAGATGTCAAGGGGTCTGAATACTTTCCGAATACAGGGGATATCTGTAGTACAACCACATGGTTTATATTGGAAGATTTGTTAGGCATTAGCATTAGTGCTAATCATATCATAATGAAATAGTTTGCCTGTCAACAAGATGTGTTCCTAGTAACAGCAGGATGTTGTTGTGTGTTGTGAAGGAGGAGCAGGGCTGAACGGTGAGTATGACCAGGATCAGGACATGTGATGATAAGTACCACTTCTTCATGTGACCGAGAAAGAGGAGCAGCCCAGTGGCGATTACAAACACTTGATTGTGTTCCACTCAATACTGGAGAAAAACCACTCAGGCAAGGACTTTCTCTTCTCTCCTTTGGGTGTAGTGTGACTGCTATTATATATATTGAACTGAAGGTATGTATAACTTGTATCTTATTCATGTAAACTGTTTAGCAGATTTTCCTTTTAGCCCATTGTGATAATGTATTTTGTTCTATGTTGGAAGATAAACAGTAGCCTACCATCTTTGTGTAGACAGTTGTTTGGTGATAAATTGCCATAACTGTTTACTGGGCAAGTATTTCATTGGTTCAACTATACTGTATCACAGTGTACGTAGGCCTAATGTAAATGTTTTGTTCTATTACTATGCAGAGAATAAGTAATATTAATAATCAAGAAAGTGAAACATAAAGTAGTGCAGTTGCGTTTATTTATTTTAATAATCAAAGTTGGAAAGTAATTATTCTCATGTAAACAAATGTGCATTGCACATCTTAGGTCAAATGCTGATCATTGATAGTTGTACCGTGGTGGGCATTTTCTTGCCAAGCGTTCTCCAGCAATGATCTACCAATGAGCCACACCCAATGTTCAACTAATGTAATCACTGTTTGAATTAACTAGATGTATTGATAACAATGAGCCTACAGTGTCTAAATGATAAGAATCAACAGAATGCCCTGAAATAGATAGTTAGGTACGTAGACCTACAGTACTGAAGATGTTAGTTCAGGGTCATAGTAATATACAGAATAAAAATATAAACGCAACATGCAACAATTTCAACGATTTTACTGAGTTGCAGTTCATGTAAGGAAATCTGTCAATTGAAATAAATAAATTAGGCCCTAATCTATGGATTTCACATGACTGGGCAGGGTTGCAGACATGGGTGGGCCTGGCCCTTGGCAGCCAGGCCCACCCACTGGGGAGCCAGGCCCAGCCAACTGGATTAGTTTTACCCAACAAAAGGGCTTTATTACAGACATAAATACTCTTCAGCACCCCCCTAGACGATCCCACAGGCCAAATTCACTAAAATGACGTTGGAGGCAGCTTATGGTAGAGAAATGAACATTAAATTATCTGACAACAGCTCTGGTGGACATTCCTGCAGTCAGCATGCCAATTGCAAGCTCCCTCAAAACTTGAGACATCTGTGGCATTGTGTTGTCTGACTAAACTACACATTTTAGAGTGGCCTTTTATTGTCCCCAGCACAAGGTGCACCTGTGTAATGATCATGCTTTTTAATCAGCTTCTTGATATGCCACACCTGTCTGGTGGATGGATTATCTTGGCAAAGGAGAAATGCTCACTAACAGGGATGTAAACACATTTGTGCACAACATTTGAGAGAAATAAGCTTTTTGTGCATATGGAACATTTCTGGGATTTTTTATTTCAGCTCATGAAACATGGGACCAACACTTTACATGTTGCGTTTATATTTTTGTTAAATGTACTAAAACACAGACAGGCAGGCTGGACTAAACACCACAGCTATTAATAGATATGTAGGCTGTAGAGATTGGAACTGATTACTTGAATAATATTCCCACTGGGACTATAGGCATGACGCAAACAACTGCTGACATATTTGTAACAGTACAGGGAATACCCAGGAGAATAAAACATGAGAAAGAACAAGTCAGGGTTAAATACTAGGTTTTTAACAGGGGTAAATAACAACAATGGATATGAAATGTTTATAATGCTGTTGTAGCACCAACCAGAGCGCTATCATTATATTATATTTTTCCTCCAGATGATGGATTAATGATAATAGCAGACACTTTGAAAGCATAGATTACAGTCTAACTATATTACGTGACAAAAAGTGATAGGGAATTTGAACTGGAATTTTGCCTGGAGGTTTGTTTGTTTTTAGGCTCCATTGAAAACAAAGTGCCTCTGATCTGATTGTAAAGAATTATGTTTAATTATAATCTGGGTGGTTCGAACCCTGAATGCTGATTGGCTGAGAGCCGTGGTATATCAGACCGTATACCATGTGTATGACAAAACATTTATTTTTACTGCTGTAATTACATTGGTAACCAGTTTATAATGGCAATAAGGCACCTCGGGGGTTTGTGATATATGGCCATATACCACAGCTAAGGGCTGTATCCAGGCACTCCGCTTTGCATTGTGCTTAAGAACAGCCCTTAGCCGTGGTATATTGGCCATATACCACACCCCCTCAGGCCTTAATGCTTAAGTATAAACTGAATGAATGGCTACTGAATGCTTCCACTCTCTCTGTTGTTAATTTAGACTGTCCAGCTTGCAGATGCAGACCATTCAGACTGTAGAGACCCAGGTGCCTTTCCTGAAGGAAAGCTTCTTCACCACAGCATTTAAAGACAGGAGGAAGAGTAGTGTGACTAACCTGCTCCGCAGACAGCAACAACAACAACATCATCCTCACCAGCCGCTTCCGTCTTCTCTGGACGGGGAGGAGCCTCGCATTGAGCATGCTCGGCTGGGTCGCTCATCCAGCAGCCCGTTATGCAACAAAGCGGAGCGAGCAGATAGGAAGAGGGAGGGGGAGGGAGACAGTCAGTCTGTCAGCCTCCTCTCAGCAGCAGCATCCTCACAGCTGCTCCTGACACCGGCGAGCAGGCAGGGATTAGTGCTGAGCTCCCGGAGAACCAGTTCAGCAACCCAGGAGCAGCAGCCCCATCCCCAGCAGCATGGCCTGATCGCTAAGGGGGTCCGCCTGTTTAGGAACATGGGGAACCAGGAGGCCAAACAGAGGAAGGCGGCAGGGGGAGACGCCCCTTGTGATGGGGGAGCCGAGGACAGGGAACCGGAGTGCTCCAATAAAGGCAAGAAATCCAAAGGGGGAGATGCCGGCAAGAAGAAATCCAAATCGGAATCCAAAAGCTCTGTGTTTTCCAGTATGCGGATCAGGAAGAGTCTGTCGAAGGCGAAGGGGTTGTCCAAGGAGGATATCCTGGACGGCAAGGGGTCCCAGCTGGAGGAGACTGGTGGGGTCAACAGCAGCCTCTCCGCAGACGAGTTGGGAATGATGTCGGATGGTGAGCCAGAGCAAGTCCGCTTGACAACATTGGGGCCAGAGGACGAGGGCCGGAGGACTAGTTCAGGATCGGACGGGGACCTCTACAGCTTCCACTCTGCTGCGGCTGATCATGAGGACCTGCTGTCGGACATCCAGCAGGCTATCAGGGAGCAGCATGGGACCGCTGACGGGGTCCTGGATAGGGTCACTGTCCCTTTGGCTGAGGGGGTCACCTCCCCCACCGCCGATGGTGATGTTGAACCCCTAGCCCCTCACCCCACTGACCCACAGGAGGTAGGCTCCACTCAGGGGCCAGACCTGGACAAGGGACAGGTGGATGAAACACCTGTTGGTACTGATACTGTAGGACCAGACCAAAGTGCTGAGCGTGGACAGTCAGAGGCAGAGGGAGGTGTTGCATCTGGGGGGGAGTCAGATTTAGGTTCACCAAGCGACAGTGGCCCCTCCTCGGCTGCCCTGGACACCGAGAGGAGCAGTGGAAGCCCCCTGCCCAAAACCTCCAGCACCTACAGCTTCACAGACACCACCACCACCACTTCCTATGAGAGCGCTGAGGAGCCCCAGGACGCCCTGGAGAGCCCGGTGGTGACCTCCCAGCTGACTCAGAGCCAGAGCTTTGATGAGGGGGGTAGCACCATCGAGGGGGTGAGGTGCATTAGGTTGGGAACGGCCTCAGGGTCACCCAGAAGTGTGAGTAACATGGACCTGACTGTGGAGAGGGAGGAGGGGGACAGGGGGAGAGACTTCTGGTCCCTGAGCAGGAGGAAAAGTAGCTATTCTGTCTCTCTGCTGACGGCTGACAGTTCCAAAAGATCCCTTTCCAGAAGGACGTCCTCCACTACCTCCACTGTCAAGCCCTATCCTCCCATCCACCCTTCCTACGTGAAGACCACCACCAGGCAGTTGACATCCCCCATAGGCTCCCCCAGCCAGAGCCCCCTTATTCCCCGTAGGACGGGGCCAGGCTTTGGGGCAGGGTATGGGGCCCACAAGGCCCAGGTGTGGAGGACCACCAGGCAAAGGTCCTGCAGTATTGCTGGGCCTCTCAGTCATTCTGCAGACTGGACCAAGGATCTGGAAGGCCTCAGAGCTAGGCATGAGGACGCCACTGACCTCCAGGAACATGGGGGGTCAGAGAGAGGCTTCCCAGGGGCTAGTCTGACCCTAGGCACCAGACGACGCCTCTCAGGTGTCCAGAACACCACAACAGGTCCATATCAAGATGTCTTCTCTGGTAAGTGACTGAGCATAAAGGTGCTAAATGAGTTACAGGGTAACATTGGTAGAAATGGGGTAAATATGTTGGTTAGATAATCATTTAGACCTATTATGGCTGGGAATCCATGGAGGGCTGGTTGTAAACCATAGTTTTTGGCTTTGAGCCTTTTTGCCAAACAGGGATTATGTGACTGTGTAATGGTAATTATCGTCATGTAAAATGACATAGTGTATTTATAAATATTTAGATATAAATGTATTTATATTAAACATCACATCATGTAATGTAATGATACAGTATATTGAATTTGAAGATCGACCCCTGTAAGAACGTACTGTGCTGTGCCTTATCGAACAGTATGTTGATATGGATATCCTCCTATCTCAGTATTAGCAGGCTACAGAAGGCTGATGGTCTGGGGCTCAGCTGTTTTCAGCTCTCTGCTCCTGCAGCAGTGCTGATTGTGAAAATTATCACTCACCCATGGCAATGCCATTCTTTGCCCAACTGTCTCAGAGGGCTACACACACCCACAAGCACACAATTTATGTATTACTTTTTAACTCTGCATTGCTGGGAAAGGGCTCAAAAGTAAGCATTTCACTGTAAAGTCTGTGACAAATAAAATGTGATTTGACCCCTTCACATTTCCACAGCTGAACTATAGCTAGCTATTCAGATAATTCCTTGATACAGTGGTAGGTTGCTATGTCTTGCCCAAGATTTGAGCTGTCAAACTTGATTATCAGTTCATCATTCTATCAGCCAGACCATCTTGTTATCCAGTCTGGCCCTGGTTTGCCTCAGCTATTGGAGTAATCAGTCATGTGACATGGATCTGTTTTGAGAGATTATCAATAGGGACAGGGGTCACTAGCCTTTAAACTGAGGGGAAGGGGATTCTTTACTGGTGCTGTTGTTGTTTGTGTTCATGTTTTAAAGGCAAAAAAATACAGTTTATTTGGATAAGGTTGTTCATCATATGTTTATCTAAAAGAGTGTTGGCTATTGCATGGAGCAACTAGGAGCAACGTCGCATTTTAACAATCATTTTGATTTCTTAATGTTCTTTAATCACACTGCTTAGATACGTCTAATATAGCTTTGAACTAACCTTACCTGATCATAATCTAAAAAACATCCATTGCAAGGACGGGAATAAGTTTTGTATTGCTAAATGTTTTTTTGCTACCTCGCGAACGAGAGACAATTGTAAACACAACGCGGGAAAAAACTACTTTGCAGCGTCGCACAGCGTTAATTTTTTTTCTTCCCCTACTGGATTTTGATTTCTTCATTATTAGTGCTATGTAACTGACATTTGCCGCTATTTGCAGTTGGCTCACGTGTTCTAGCTAATTCAAGTCATAACACGTATATAATAGCATTATAGATGATTAGTTTGACTGTGTTAATTGAATCTCCTGCCAGTAGAACATGGATCAGTAGAGGAGTAGTCCTACTTCTCCCAACCAAAGCTCCTCTGGTCACATTGCCATGACTTGTGACCTCTCTGGATTAGAAAACCAGGCCTTCCCTTACTCTGTCTAGGCCTGTTCAGAGATTTTCTGATTATCACAGTGATTTCTATAATAATCCCACAACTCTCTCCATCCCTTTCGTAACATGCACAGCTGAGCAATGTGGTAGGATTATTCCTCCCTTCCTTATATGGTTCAATGACCAGGATGGTTCTGATAAATACTGTTCTTTTGATGGTAGCCTAGAGTACTGTTTAAATGCCAGCTGTTAATGTGAAGGTTAAACCATGGCATTTGCAGAAAGCATCTTCCATCATGTGATTTCTAAGAAGGTGCCCTCTTTTGGCCACCTCTGGACCAATAGATGTTGTACAGAGAAGTTGAAAACACAGTATTTATAATAGTACTAACATAATACTGTTTTACAGTACTACATCTAGCTAACGTATCACTGTATAATGTTTTTTTTTTTTTTAACTGGGTGGTCGAGCACTGAATGCTGATTGGCTGAACGCCTTGGTATATGAGACCAAATACCATGGGTATGACAAAACATTTATTTTTACAGTTCTAATTAGCTTTGTAACCAGATTATAATAGCAATATGGCACACAGGGGTGGAGTATATGGCCAATATACCATGGCTAAGTTCTTAGGCACAACGCAACTCAGAGTTTATAAAAAACAAGCATTATACAGTGATACGTTAGATACTTAGTGATAGCTAATACTATCCATACATATTGTACCTAGTTTTGCTCCAGCATTTTCTATAATGATGTAGATTAGAAGCTCGAAACTGCTTGCACTTGTTGGTGTCAATTATCGAAGCTACTTGCACTTGTAGGTGTTAATTATCTTGTCTGACTCTGTGATCTAACATCTCACACTCTATCTGTAGATCTTTGAACGTTAAAGTTTCTGTGTGTATCTCAATCAATTACAAAAATACCTCTGCTCTCTCATCAATATCCTCTGCAGTATCTGTTTCTTCATAATGGTGTGTCTTCCCCAGATCTGTTTTATGAATATGAGCTCTACTCTCTATGGATTTTGCTAGGGAGGGAGGGAGGGGAGGGGGAGGGGCTTCTTTTTATTTCGGGGGGGGAGTAGGGGAGGGAGGGAGGAGGGATGAGGGAGAGAGAGAGAGGATGGAGAGAAGCTGAGAGAGGAGAGGAGAGAGGAGAGATAAGGCGGAGGTGAGGGGGGAGAGAGAGGAGAGGGGAGAGAGAGAAGAGAGGACAGAGCTCTTCTAATTTTAGTGACGAGAGCGATGAGAGAGAGTCAGGATCTCCACAGGAGAGCGAGAGAAGAGTAGAAGGAGAAAGAGAGCGAGAGGAAAGAGAGAGAGGGGAAGAGAGAGGAAGAAAGAATAAATCTATCTATTCTCTCTCTCATCTCTCTCTCTCTCTCTCTCTCTCTCTCTCTCACTCTCTCTCTCTCTGTGTATCTCTTTCTGTCTCTCTCGCTCTCTCTCTCTCTCCCTCTCTCTCTCTCTCTATCTCCCTCTCTCCCTCTTCCTCTCTGTCTCGCCCTCTCTTTCTCGCCCTCTCTCTCTCTCTCTCTCTCTCTCTCTCTCTCTCTCTCTCTCTCTCTCTCTCTCTCTCTCTCTGTCTCTTCCTCAGGACACACCCTGTTGGAGCGTCTATGTCTGCAGCAGGGGAAGGGAGTGACTGAGGAGGAGGCGGAGAGGTTGTGTTGTCATATGTTGGGCCTGGGGCTGCTGCAGCCCCTCAGTGACTGTTTCAGAGAGCAGCATGGAGTCAGTGTCACACCAGTCACAGCCACCTTTAAGGTGAGAACTGTTTACTTACTAACATTGTTTCACTGCTGCCATTTCAACAAATATCACACTGATCAAAGGCTGATAGCCTGAACTGGCTAGTATCACTCACTGGATGATAGTTTAATAGGAACAAATTAATTCGAACAAATGTATTCTGGGTTATTTATCAAATATCCACCATCCACCTCCCTATGCTCTTGTCTCCATATCTGGATGGTTTTATATTTGAGTATTTCCTCATGTTGATGTAACAGATGTATATCGTACTCTCCTTGCGTTGTGTTTTCTCCTAATAAATCACATCAGCCAGTGGTCCCAGTTGAGCATAATTTATTTCTGTTGTTAAATGGGAAACAGCACATTAGTTGTGCAGAGCTTAACGATATTGATGGCTGTCGATGGCAAAATATGTAGCATGAAGGCAACTGTGTTAGCAGTGGGCTTATGTGACCATTACGTCGGTGTATGCTAGCTAACACACTTATCTACAGCAATCATATGCCAAAGCACATCCCAGAAAGCCCCTCAATCCCTAACAGGTACCATATACCCACACATGTATAAATCAGTAACGTACAGCAACCTTGTACACATAGTAAAATATAAAACAGTATTCAGAACATGACCTACCCCTTGCATCACATTTTCATACTGGGAAGACCTGTACCAGCTCAGCTGGTAGAGCACGGCGCTTGTAACGCCAAGGTAGTGGGTTCGATCCCCGGGACCACCCATACACACGCATGACTGTAAGTCGCTTTGGATAAAAGCGTCTGCTAAATGGCATATTATATTATTAAAAAGACCTGACGTTCGCGATCTCCCCCTAGCTGCAAGAGGGGCCAATCACAACACGCCTTATTGTCATCAGAGTTGAACCAACCAATAAGAATACTTGAACATTAAATACACATTTCTTTAGAGGCAAGTGGAAACATAACCAACCCTGTTACATTGAGAACAGTTCTTTTGGTCAGCCTAACCATATGAAACTGATTTCATAAATGTTTAAATCCTTTTCCCAGTAACGCTTCACTCGGACGTAATCTCATGTTTGTGTGGTTATAATTTTCCAAGCAAAGTTCGTTGAGCGCGCTGTCAGTGCCATTTTTATCACATGCCCCTTGCAGCTGAATCCACTCAGCTGTAAGGTTCTTAGTCTGAGGATTTAAATATAGATTTCACAGCTTAGTAATTTTTCATAACTATAATTTGTTTTGTGTGCGTGTGTGCATGCAATCATGTGTCTGTGTGTGTGTGTGTGCTTCCTGTTGCAGTATCTCCATAGGGACTGAACATTGTGTCGTGAAGCAATGGGTTGTCATGTTTCCTTTCTTGGTGTGCCATGTGATCAGAGCTGCTTTTCTTTTGCTCAGCCACCAAAGAAGATTTGTGTCTGAACAGATGAGCATTTGTCTCTGGCTGCACTGTGCACCTCCCCCCTTAGATACACTCACATACATAAACACACTGTCACAAACACTCAGTCATAACATGCACACAAAATCACATAGAATTACAATATGTCCCTGCAATGTATGCAAGCACACATAGTACCCTAGAAACAGGCATACACATATTCACACATGCTTTCATTCATTCAGTACACAAACACACACACACACACACACATGCATGCCTTACAAACAGTCACTCTGTGACACACACACATCTGCTTGCGTAGACCATCTGCTGACTGCGTTGCGTAAGAGCCCCACGTGCCCAGGGCTCAGGCTGCTCTTCAGAAGGCTCACTGTGCCTGGGTTGGTTCGAGCATGTCGTCCCCTCTCACTGTCTCTACCTGGGGTTGGACCTGCAGCTCTGCATTATTCACCTTGACCAGAGTCAACCTCTAACCGTGTCTATTGACAACGCTGTCCTCCCTCACCCGCTGTCCTCCCTCACCCGTCCTCCCTCACCCGCTGTCCTCCCTCACCCGCTGTCCTCCCTCACCCGCTGTCCTCCCTCACCCGCTGTCCTCCCTCACCCGTCCTCCCTCACCCGCTGTCCTCCCTCACCCGCTGTCCTCCCTCACCCGCTGTCCTCCCTCACCCGTCCTCCCTCACCCGCTGTCCTCCCTCACCCGCTGTCCTCCCTCACCCGCTGTCCTCCCTCACCCGCTGTCCTCCCTCACCCGCTGTCCTCCCTCACCCGCTGTCCTCCCTCACCCTTTTTCTCTCTCTCTCTCTCTCTCTCTCGATCACTCTCTCTCTCTCTTTCTCTCTTTCTCTCTCTCTTCCTCCCTCCCTCTCTTCTCTGTCCTCACTGTCCGCTCCCCTGTAAAAGTAGAAAGCCTTTTTTGACTCCCTGAAATATAATCCCTCCCTATAGTGCCACTATAATGAATCAGCATTGTCTCTATGGAGAAAATATTGTTGATGTGATAGAGTAGGGGCTATGACAGGTTCTGACCATGTTTTAGTCTCTGCCTGTACTGGAGTTGTGATTCTGGCTCCAGCTCAAGCTGGGGTTCTGGTTAAGATTTTGTTCTGGCATTGACTTCACAGAGAAAATAACGCCTCAGGCGAGCTCTCAGACTGGAACAGAATGAATATGTGCTCCGTAAAGTGTAGACACCCACTCATACGCACGCACGCATACACACAAACACACACACTTGACATGCACAGTGTTGGAATGGCTTGATCTTCTTACATAAATTGATAGTCATTATGTAGAGGTCTGTGAATTATCCGATTTATTTACAATATATTTAGATTCAGACTAAATTGGGCCCTTAGAATTGCCCAATTGCATGTGGTTATATATTCAATATCATATTACTGTGCCGTGCTGAAAGTGCTTGCTGCAATGGAACCATTCACAGCCATTTCCCAGGGGAAAAAATTGCTCAGTTGATAAGTAACAAGCTCTCATGCATTAAGCTGAACTAATAGAATATACACAGTAACAAGCTGAGTTTTCATATATCAGATTAATGAGAATGGCTTTCTTTTAGCTTCTCGCAATTTTCTACGTTCCACTGTACAATAGGGAGTCTTGCGCTAAGCAAACACTGTACCTTATCTCATTTAGGAAAAGTGGACGTTTTTATTGGTTCGATTAGTACAGTGAAAGGCCTCTCTGTTAGGCAGTGTTGGTGGATGTCCTCTGAATCAACAGAGGGATTTACATAGGTTGCTTTATTTATTTATTCCTTGAAGTAAAATGTGATTAAATATGAATGGAGTTCCTTGTTTCTCTGTCAGCTATTTAGTGTACGTTAAATAGCTGTCTGCCTTTTTGTCTGTGCACTGCCCTGTTTTGGCCTTTATTTGTGTGTAAGTAAACCAAATCAATTTAATTAAACTGAAAATGATGTAGGTCAAATGTCCCAGTTATATTCGCCTGGTTATTATATGGTGTTAATATACAATGTGAATAAAACATTGATGTTAAGGTAAATACTGTAAAAATGCATTCTAACATGTTCATTGTTTGTTTTTCCCTCCCCCAGGAGGACCAGCTGTATACTTGGGCCACCTTTGGCCTGCCCTCCCACCTCTGGGAGGCCCATGAAGGTCGCACCCCAGGCCGCATCCAGGGCCTGTGGCCCCCTCCACAGCCAGCTCAGGTATGTTTTCAACACTGTGTGTTTTATGTAGTGTACCACACCAAGCAGACGAGCTCCAGAGGAGAACATTTATTCAGATAGTGTGACATTGAAAATGTTGCGTCACCTTCAACCGAATAGAAAATGACTGTGTGTGCCTCAGGAGGATAACAGATCTTTGTACTCTTTTATTTGCTCTTACAACTGGAAGTGAATGACTACCCAGACATGTTTTGTTACAATACTGTCCTCTTGTGGTTATATCTTGTATATGTTGTATAATGACAGAGCATGAGGATATTACTCCTGTTCTTCCAACAGAGGTCAGGCTTGGCTTGAATTCCTATGATAACTTTCATAGGTCATTGTCAGAAGCAGGTAAACTTCATATCCTGTGAGCTCCTTACCTTGTAATGGTCACTTAGAAAGACTAGGACTGTAAACTCAACACAAACTGTAGTAACTATGGTAACATGGCTGGAGCGTGTGCATCTAACTATGGCCTCTTTGAAGCTCATTGAGACTTTGATCATCTCATGGGTCAAATATTTTAAGTCTCCCAATCAATGTTCTAACTACCCAGGTGCCAGAAGCTTGGAGTCTAAACATGTGGCCTTCCCTGACCTGACCCTGACCTGACCATGACCCTGACCCTGACCCTCACTTTACCCTGACCTGTAACCCTGAAACCAAACACCCTCAGTTGTGGGTGTTTGTTTACCCTTATTCACTCAGGGTGTGGCATCTACTAGCTTTGAAGTCTGAGGAATTATGTATTTATTTTGTAAAAATAGTTCCTGCCTCTCGTTAAATAGTAGAAAGCAGATTATTCAGTCAACGTTCCTATCGGTCCTAGACTATGGCAACATCATCTATATGAACGCAGCTGCCACTTCATTAACGCCGTTAGATGCAGTTTATCATAGCCCACTGTGCTTTATTACGGGCGACAATTTTAGTACTCATCACTGCATTCTCTACCAGAAAGTTGGTTGGCCCTCTTTGATGTCATGTAAGTTGATGAACTAATATGTTTTCATTTATAAAGCCCTTTTACAAAAGGTCCCACTGTACCTAACATCATTACTAAACTTTAGACATATGAGTTACCACACCCAGTCTCAGGGATGGCGAACTCTGGAAATTCCTTTGGTCTCTACTGAGTTAGGTAAATCAGCTTTTAGTTTCCTTGCACCTTATTTGTGGAACAATCTTCTAAATGTTCTTAAATTTGATGTTCTGGTGCCTCTAGGGCAATTCAGAAAGCTGATTGATGACCTTATTACTGATGAATGTGTTTGATTTTTATGACAGTGTTTTTCTTTCTGCTTGCATGTTGTAATTATATTTGGATGTAGGTCATTCAGGGCTCATCTGTAAAAGAGACCTTGGTCTCAGTATGACTCAAAACATCACTTTATGTAATATTCAAATGTACAAAGTTCTGTATTTTATTGCTGCTGCTTGAAAAGTGGTCTGAAATACTTTTTTCATGACAGATTTCGTCAAAGTTCGGGAATCTGTCACAAGAGGACAATGGCAGTGATATTACAGGGCTGGAGCAGACCATTAATGACTTGAGGATAAAGATTGCAGCACTGGAAATCCAGCATGCATCTCTGGAGATGGAGATCCACTCTAAGGAGAGTGGGGATGGGGACAATACTGTGGCCTTGGGGGGTGTCAACCTCACAGGAAAGAAGAGGATGGATGTTTCCGTACAGACATCACCTGTGGAGGAGGCCTTTAGATTTGAAGTGCCTTTCAGGGGAGGGTCAATCCCCTCCTCAAACTCTGTCCCAGCAATCTCCTCCTCCTCCCTCCCCAGACCTGACTTTGTCTGTACCTGCCAACAGCAGCAGCAGAGTGGTACCCAGCCCCAACCTCCTCCCACCCCAGGTATACCACCTCCTCCTCCTCCTCCCCCTCCTCCTCTACCTCAACTCTCTGGAGGGCCCCCACCACCTCCACCCCCTCCCCCTCTCCCTGGTGGGGCTGGTCCTCCTCCTCCACCCCTCCTCCTCCTTTACCAGGTATGGGCGGACCCTGTCCCCCACCTCCACCCCCTCCCCTGCCAGGCTTTGGACCTCAACCCCCACCCCCTCCACCAGGTATGGGCCCCCCTCCTCCGCCCCCACCCCCCGGCGGTGGACCTCCACCTCCCCCAGGCTTTGGCCCTCCTCCCCCTCCCGGTGGTTTCATGGCCCCCATGGCCCAGGAGGCTGGCCCCCAGAAGGCACCCATCGAACCCCCCAAGCCCATGAAGCCTCTCTACTGGACCAGGATCCAACTGCATGCTAAAAAGTAATTACTAATCCACTTTAGTCCAATGACTGTACATACATATACAGTATGTTTATCCAAAGCTTCCTGTTTAACTACAGTATATGAGACATCCATAAACATAACGCATGAATGAGAACGTATGCAAAAGATAGAGATGGATCATTGACATTCATGGAGGCTATAGAAGGGGTTTTCTACTGAAGATAAAGATCAGCCTTGTAAACCAACCCTATACAGATGGTAACCCAGTGAAACATTTGTGAAAGATGTGGGGAAAGAGTTTGGTGAGATGTTGTTGAGTTGAAACAGGTGTTGTGATGTGCTTTGCAGTGTTGGGGACGCTTCTCTGAAATCATAGTTTCCCAAACTACCAATTGCTTCACACTGGAAGAAGTTAAGCTACACTAAAGCTACCCTTAAGAAAAATACAGTTTACTTAACTAAAGCTACTTTGAAACTAAAGTTACTTTGGGAAAAATTATCATATCTAAATATGAAATGTCATAGACTACAAATTGCAAGAACAGATCACTCTGGGATCAGGTGTTAACAGAATGTGTGATTTAGCCTATTAAACACAAAAACTATGTTTCAACTGAGAATTACGCTGATGCCGAAAAACTAAGGAAATTCTTCCCTACTTCACAATATTTTATTCTCCTTTTACAAAAAAAAAGTAGTGTGTAGTTCCAGTAGTTAGCTACACCGCTACATGGCGATAAAATAATTAACTACCTAGATTTGACTTTAGTTCAACGACCACAAAGCTAATGCAAAATGTAGTTTAATTACTAGTTGAACTACGTGTATGTTCACTACTCCCCAACACTGCCGCTTTGGTACTGATGCACTTGGTCCGACTCCATACACGTAAATATATCTTATAACAGTACTGTGACGTGTAAATAAGTCCACATTATAATTACCAGAGGACATGATACATAGTGGTGGTTTTATGTATAGTTATTGGAAATGTAATGTACTGTACAGTTGTTGTCTGAAGAGGCGCTATAGTGCTGGTCTTCCTGCATTCTAGGGCTCGGTAAAGCATAAAATGCCAGACATTTTCAGTTGTACGTTTGAGGTACAAATCACCAGGATAAAGACCCAATGAAAGCGATGTAATACAGATCTTTCTCTCTTCTACCTGAGGGATGCGAGTGGTTCTCTGGTTTGGGAGAAGATCGAGGAGCCGTCAGTGGATTTTGATGAGTTTGTCAAGTTATTCTCCAAAAGTGCTGTGAAGGAGAAGAAAAGGCCAATATCAGACACCATCACAAAGTCCAAGGCCAAACAGGTACTGTACATTGTGTGAGCGTGTGTCTGCCTGTCTGCCCTTGACTCTCTTTAGTCCCATCTCTGTCTCTTCCTGTCCCTCTCTCCATCACACCAATCCCCTGCCTGTAAATGACATGAGGAAGTGATGTAGCCAGAGAGTGATTATGTGGTGTGAGGTCTGGCTCCCCTTGGCTCCCAGGCCCAGCGAAGCTCGGAGCCAGTGAGTGGCGTGTGGTAAGTAAACCCACACTGATGACTGGGAGACACTGTGGCAGCCTCGTCTGTCCTGTGATTCCTCCCCTGAGACCGCTGCTCTGTGGCTCAGACCCAATAGTCTAACATACCTTCCCTTTTGAACTTTCTACTGTACTTTTCTGTCACAGCCACTGATCTAAAAGCATTTGATAGATTTAAGTACCATGGTGGAGAACTAGATAGTCAAGCACTTCCCCTCTAAGTGGAAACAAGGATAAAAAATAGGGTTTAGGAGAGTATTGGGACAGAGCCTTTCGTGTGCTCTTCCCTCTTGTGTGAGAGGGACTTCCTCTGTGTATTCAGTACAGACAGACTTGATGATTGATGAAGAGCAGAAAGCCAGGCTGAGTCACTTTTCATACTCACTCTCAGTCAGAGCTCATTATGTCTGGATTCAATCAACCATCCGACCATACAACATTCATTCATGACTTGGATATGAATAATAATTTTGTAAGTAATAATGTAATAGCATTTGTAACGCATTTTTTATGCATTACATCGAAAGTGCTAGACATGTCTCTTAGATATTTCCATGTCCCAGATTGTAAAAAAAAAAATGGATAAACAGCATGTCTTGGTCAACGTATGGATATACCTTGTTGTCATCTTTCTGCCCTCTCAGACCTTCTTTCTTTGTTGTGACTGGATATGTCCCTTCATATCAGAGTGGACTGGCTACTTCACACTATACTAGCCCACTTTGTTATATTCAATGTTAGATGTGAAACTGTAGAGAAAGAATTCTGTACTCAGGCCTTGAGTTTACATTAACAGACGTCTGCATTTCTCTTCTGCCTCTGAGTACTTTTTCCACATCAACAAATGTTGTTTTGTGATAATTTATTCTCTTTTATGGTCTAATGAAGAACAAATTTTCCCTCAGGGTTTATTTCTGGCATGTGATGCAGGGCTTTGTGGGTTTCGTAGAAATATGTGTAGGCCAATGTTGAACACACAGTATTACTGGAATGATTGACTCATGACATAGGGAGGAGACACAAATAAAACATCAATCGGTGATTGACGGGAATTAAAGATCTTTTAAAACCTAGGATTCCATTTCTGCACATGGTTTGTATGTAATATTTTCATTCAAACCATATTCCCATCAGGAAAATGTTTTTGAATGGATAATAAACTGTACATTAATAAACAGTTTATGATAAACCCTACCTCTTTAAGGAATACCTGGAATAGTGTAACAGTAATCCTTCTACCCCCCCCCCCCCCCCCCCCCCCCACCCTCCCATAAAAAAAAGAAGAAAAAAAGGGTGGTTGTCCCACTGGCTATCATAAATTGAATGCACCAATTTGTAAGTCGCTCTGGATAAGAGCGTCTGCTAAATGACTTAAATGTAAATGTTATGATATACTGCTGGAGAATAGTTATTCTGTAGATCCTGTCAAAAGGATCTACAATGTGGTATAATGATCTTCACTATGAACTCATCAGACAGTATTATACTGCTGTGTAGTACCCCAAATATGCACCTACAATAGGAGCTTGTGCCAACTGATATATGATTTTTAAACACTTTTTTAGCATTGACAATTACATTCTATGATGTCTACAGTGTGATGGAAAACCATTTAGCTGGATATGTTAGACTGTCTCTCTTTTGGCTGTGGCAGGAGGCAGGAGGTCAGTGATGTAACTGTGTCCATGTTCTATGTTGTAGTTTGTGTGATCTGGAGCACATGGATTTGGTCTGTCTGAGGCTAGGGTTTACTAGCTACACTCCCCACACCACTTTATTACCCAGCAGCCACTCTGCTTTCTCAGCCTGACTGTGGTCACTGGGAGAGGCTACTCCACAGGAGGTTGGTGGCCTCTTAATTGGGGAGGACAGGCTTGTGGTAATGGCTGGAGCAGAATCACTGGAATGGTAATAAATACATCAAACACATGGTTTGATGGCATTCCATTGGCTCCGTTCCAGCCATTATTATGAGCCTTCCTCTCCTCAGCAGCCTCCACTGGTCTACTCTACTGTGAACTATACATGATACCGCCCATGGTTTTACCAAGGCTGTTGGTTTATCTATATATTTTAACTTGATCAGCAGTTATAAATGTACTTGGCACAATATAGTGAAATATAGTAAAAGATAGTGATGATGGATATTTATTGTACAGATGTAGAATTTAATTTGATGGCCCTGTTGCAGGATAACTTTCTCGCAATGCAGGAAATGTGAAACTTGTAGTGTATTTGAGGTTTAAAAAGGCTTCTCAAGTTTGTAATTTACACTTTGAAATTTCAGACTTGATTTTCCCTTGCGAAAAAATGTATCAACCCCTAGAAAAATGTCCATTAATTATATTCCACAAAATAATTATAATTTCCTGTTGCTGCAAGATTATTTTCCTGCTGTAGCAAACTGGCTCAAATTAAGATCCTTCATCTGTACAATAAACAATATTTCGAGACTCCACAAACTAAAGCAGCTAATTTAAAGGCCTAGTGCAGTCAAAAATGTGATTTTCCTGTGTTTTATATATGTTTCCACACTATGACGTTAGGATAATATCCTAGCGTGAAATTTTGAAATTGATGATAATGCCCTTTTAGTGTAAGAGCTGTTTGAAAAGACAGCCTGAAATTTCAGCCTGTTTTGGTGGGATGGAGTTTTGGCCTGCCTTGTGATGTCACAAGGTGGTAAATTAGTTAATATACCAATAAGAAAGAGAGTTCCAAACCTCTCTGCCAATTGCAGCTATTTTTCAGTTTATATCTATATCTATATATCTATATCTATAGACTATCAGTAACATTTCAACTAACTATCTACTAACCCTAGCATAACCCTAACCATAACCCTTATCCTAACCCTAAACTTAACCCTTACCCTAACCCTTATTCTAACCCTAACTGTAACCTTAGCAAGCAGTTGCTTATCAACAGATCAACAGTTGATACAGTGAGGGAAAAAAGTATTTGATCCCCTGTTGTTTTTGTACGTTTGCCCACTGACAAAGAAATGATCAGTCTATAATTTTAATGGTAGGTTTATTTGAACAGTGAGAGACAGAATAACAACAAAAAAATCCAGAAAAACACACGTCAAAAATGTTATAAATTGATTTGCATTTTAATGAGGGAAATAAGTATTTGACCCCCTCTCAATCAGAAAGATTTCTGGCTCCCAGGTGTCTTTTATACAGGTAACGAGCTGAGATTAGGAGCACACTCTTAAAGGGAGTGCTCCTAATCTCAGCTTGTTACCTGTATAAAAGACACCTGTCCACAGAAGCAATCAATCAATCAGATTCCAAACTCTCCACCATGGCCAAGACCAAAGAGCTCTCCAAGGATGTCAGGGACAAGATTGTAGACCTACACAAGGCTGGAATGGGCTACAAGACCATCACCAAGCAGCTTGGTGAGAAGGTGACAACAGTTGGTGCGATTATTCGCAAATGGAAGAAACAAAATAACTGTCAATCTCCCTCGGCCTGGGGCTCCATGCAAGATCTCACCTCATGGAGTTGCAATGATCATGAGAACGGTGAGGAATCAGCCCAGAACTACACGGGAGGATCTAGTCAATGATCTCAAGGCAGCTGGGACCATAGTCACCAAGAAAACAATTGGTAACACACTACGCCGTGAAGGACTGAAATCCTGCAGCGCCCGCAAGGTCCTCCTGCTCAAGAAAGCACATATACAGGCCCGTCTGAAGTTTGCCAATGAACATCTGAATGATTCAGAGGAGAAATGGGTGAAAGTGTTCTGGTCAGATGAGACCAAAATCGAGCTCTTTGGCATCAACTCAACTCGCCGTGTTTAGAGGAGGAGGAATGCTGCCTATGACCCCAAGAACACCATCCCCACCATCAAACATGGAGGTGGAATCAATATGCTTTGGGGGTGTTTTTCTGCTACGGGGACAGGACAACTTCACCACATCAAAGGGACGATGGACGGGGCCATGTACCGTCAAATCTTGGGTGAGAACCTCCTTCCCTCAGCCAGGGCATTGAAAATGGGTAGTGGATGGGTATTCCAGCATGACAATGACCCAAAACACACGGCCAAGGCAACAAAGGAGTGGCTCAAGAAGAAGCACATTAAGGTCCTGGAGTGGCCTAGCCAGTCTCCAGACCTTAATCCCATAGAAAATCTGTGGAGGAAGCTGAAGGTTCGAGTTGCCAAACGTCAGTCTCAAAACCTTAATGACTTGGATAAGATCTGCAAAGAGGAGTGGAACAAAATCCCTCCTGAGATGTATGCAAACCTGGTGGCCAACTACAAGAAACGTCTGACCTCTGTGATTGCCAACAATGGTTTTGCCACCAAGTACTAAGTCATGTTTTGCAGAGGGGTCAAATACTTATTTCCCTCATTAAAATGCAAATCAATTTATAACATTTATGACATGTGTTTTTCTGGATTTTTTTTGTTGTTATTCTGTCTCTCACTGTTCAAATAAACCTACCATTAAAATTATAGACTGATCATGTCTTTGTCAGTGGGCAAACGTACAAAATCAGCAAGGGATCAAATACTTTTTTCCCTCACTGTAGTATGGCCATCTTTAGAGCATCTACAGACCGACTTTCCGGACTATTCAAATAAAGTGTGACCCTTAATTGTTACCCAGAAATGATTTGATATTGAGATAAAAACTCTTTCATATATTTGTGATGTGCCAATCTATTCTCACATTGTTGTTGTGACATTTTACTTTTAAATAGTGAAGTCTTGCCATTGATATGCCTTAAAGGCACAGGCCTTTAACGCATTTAGTGGTTTGTGTAAAACCTAATTTGATAAACAAACAATCACAGAGAAAACAGCACAATGGGCATACACTACTGTACACTTAGTGGGCCATATTTTGAATGGTCTCCTACTTATCTCTGTATGAACTGCATTATCAACGGAACGGGTTGAAGTGATAAGTCGAGATGTATCTAAGATCTACACATTCTGGATCACCCCATTGAAAATATGATGGATGTGGAGAACTGAACTTTAAGGGGAAATTTTCAATCACTTTAATCTGACTAAACAGGTTTATCATTTGCATAATGTTTGTGGGAGAATTGGCAACAGTTCTTTTCCCATAAAAGGAAAAGATAAAGGGACATTGAGGCTCAGTTCTGGCCTGTTTTGGACTCATTTTATATAGAGCCATGACTACAGGGAACTCTCTTCCACCTCAACTCAAGCGAGCAGTAAAATCTGATAAAAAAACAAACAGATAAAACAATACCTCACGGAACGACATGGACTGTGAAGAGACACACTCTAACACACACATACACACACACACACTCTAACACACACTACACACACGCACACAAATTGTATTATTGTATATTTTATATTGTAAATGTGTAATATCTGAACAATGTAACTTTTAATGCACAATGTGTTGATGTATTGTTGTATTATGATGTAGTCTGTTGTTTTACTATAATGTATTACTGTATTTCTGTTTGGACCTTAGGAAGAGTAATAAATAATCAATAATACATTTAAAAGCTTGATCCTCTTTCCGTTGTCTGTTCCTCGGAGCTCTCACTGCTCTCTCTACAAAGGGTTTCTTCTCTCTCTCTCAGAGAGATTCTCTCTATCTTACGCTCTCTCGCTCTCCTCTCTTCTCTCTCTCCTACTCTCTCGCTTCTCTTATCTTGCTCTCTTCTCTCTCTCTATTCTCTCTCTTCTTCTCTCTCTCGCTCTCTCTCTTAATTTCGCTCTCTCTCTCTCTCGCTCATCTATCTCTCCGTCTCTCTCACTCTTGCTCTCGCTCTCTCTCTCTCTCCTCTAGCTCTCTCTCTCTCTCACTCTCACTCTCTCTCTCGCTATCTCACTCTCTCTCTCTCTCTTCTCTCTCTCTCTCTCTCTCTCTCTCTCTCACTCTCTCACTCTCTCGCTCTCTCTCTCAGGTGGTGAAGCTGTTGAACACCAAGCGATCTCAGAATGTGGGGATCCTCATGTCCAGCATCCACTTGGACATGAAGGACATTCAGAATGGTGAGTGGTGATGTTCCACCTCAACACAGCATAACGACGTCATTGCAACCAGTTACGCCCGCTGGGTAGTTACAGTTGAAGTCGGAAGTTTACATACACTTAGGTTGGAGTCATTAAAACTTGTTTTTCAACCACTCCACAAATTTCTTGTTAACAAACTATAGTTTTGGCAAGTCGGTTAGGACATCTACTTTGTGCATGACACAAGTAATTTTTCCAACAATTGTTTACAGACAGATTATTTCACTTATAATTCACTGTATCACAATTCCAGTGGGTCAGAAGTTGACATACACTAAGTTGACTGTGCCTTTAAACAGCTTGGAAAATTCCAGAAAATGACTTTAGAAGCTTCTGATAGGCTAATTGACATCATTTGAGTCAATTGGAGGTGTACCTGTGGATCTATTTCAAGGCCTACACTCAGTGCCTCTTTGCTTGACATCATGGGAAAATCAAAAGAAATCAGCCAAGACCTCAGAAAAAAGATTGTAGACCTCCACAAGTCTGGTTCATCCTTGGGAGCAATTTCCAAACGCCTGAAGGTACCACGTTCATCTGTACAAACAATAGTATGCAAGTATAAACACCATGGGACAACGCAGCCGTCATATCGCTCAGGAAGGAGATGCGTTCTGTCTCCTAGAGACAAACGTACTTTGGTGCGAAAAGTGCAAATCAATCCCAGAACAACAGCAAAGGACCTTGTGAAGATGCTGGAGGAAACAGGTACAAAAGTATCTATATCCACAGTAAAACGAGTCCTATATCAACATAACCTAAAAGGCCGCTCAGCAAGGAAGAAGCCACTGCTCCAAAACCACCATAAAAAAGCCAGATTACGGTTTGCAACTGCACATGGGGAAAAAGATTGTACTTTTTGGAGAAATATCCTCTGGTCTGATGAAACAAAAATAGAACTGTTTGGCCATAATGACCATCGTTATGTTTGGAGGAAAAAGGGGGATGCTTGCAAGCCGAAGAACACCATCCCAACTGTGAAGCACGGGGGTGGCAGCATCATGAGGTGGGGGTGCTTTGCTGCAAGAGGGGCTGGTGCACTTCACAAAATAGATGGCATCATGAGGAAGGAAAAGTATGTGGATATATTGAAGCAACATCTCAAAACATCAGTCAGGAAGTTAAAGCTTGGTCGCAAATGGGTCTTCCAAATGGACAATGACCCCAAGCATACTTCCAAAGTTGTGGCAAAATGGCTTAAGGACAACAAAGTCAAGGTATTGGAGTGGCCATCACAAAGCCCTGACCTCAATCCTATAGAAAATGTGTGGGCAGAATTGAAAAAGTGTGTGCGAGCAAGGAGGCCTACAAACCTGACTCAGTTACACCAGCTCTGTCAGGAGAAATGGGCTAAAATTCACCCAACTTATTGTGGGAAGCTTGTGGAAGGCTACCCGAAATGTTTGACCCAAGTTAAACAATTTAAAGGAAATGCTACCAAATACTAATTGAGTGTATGTAAACTTCTGACCCACTGGGTATTTGATGAAAGAATTAAAAGCTGAAATAAATAATTATCTCTACTATTATTCTGACATTTCACATTCTTAAAATAAAGTGGTGATCCTAACTGATCTAAGACAATGAATTTTTACAAGGATTAAATGTCAGGAATTGTGAAAACTGAGTTTAAATGTATTTGGCTAAGGTGTATGTAAACTTACGACTTCAACTGTACCTTAATTGACCTCTCTAGACTTCTGATGGATCTAGTCATAATTCAGGTGTGGTGTTATTGCCTCAAGTGAGAGGCCTCATTATTAAGTTATCACTAGACTTTGAAGTATGAAGGATGTACTATTATCTTTCTCTCTGTGTGTTTCCATCTTTCATTTAGTTTACTATATTCTATTTTATCTCGCTCTCTCTCTCTCTTTCTCTAATCTATTGTCACTCTGCGTCCTAGTCTAAACTGCCTTTTTAAAGTGGAACTACTCCAGACTTAACTGAGAATGGATTCTCCTCCTGTTATAGTCCTCTGATTGCCTCGCCATTCATCCCTCATCCGTGTGTCTAAACACTCCTTGTAAGATGTACGCTGGGGAGGGTCTGTCTATCCTATAAGTCCTCTTGATAGGCTTATCTCAATGGGAGGAGGTGGGCCATACTCATCAGTCGCCAGTGTTAGGACTTTCTTTCAGCATACAGCATTAGTGTTGATTAGAGGGTACGGTATTTCATGGGGTGATGAGATTGGGAAAGAGAAATACAGTGCTTCACATGTTCAGAATGATCTGGGAACCCTCCAGATAATGTTACACTGTTTGGGATTTAAATATGTTCTCTAAACCCCACATCTAAAGAGACAAATGAGAAAGATACTTTTTTTTCTGAATCATAGTTTTTGATCTTCTTTTTTATGACTATGGCATTGTTTTATAGAGAGTCAAGTTAGCTCTCCATTGGTGGTTATTTAAGCAATAAGGCACGAGGGGGTGTGGTATATGGCCAATATACCACGGCTAAGGGCTGTTCTTAAGCACGACACATCGCTGAGTGCCTGGACATATTGACCATATTGACCATATACCACACCCTCTCGTGCCTTATTGTCAGATACTCAGCCCTGTTTGAGTCAGTAACTAAAACCAAATTAGTGAGAGAGAGAGAGCAGGCAGGCAGAGAGAGAGAGAGCAGGCAGAGAGAGAGAGCAGGCAGCGAGAGAGAGAGCAGGCAGAGAGAGAGAGAGCAGGCAGAGAGATAGAGAGCAGGCAGAGAGAGAGAGCAGGCAGCGAGAGAGAGAGAGAGAGAGAGGCAGGCAGAGAGAGAGAGCAGGCAGAGAGAGAGAGCAGGCAGTGAGAGAGAGAGCAGGCAGAGAGAGAGAGAGCAGGCAGAGAGATAGAGAGCAGGCAGAGAGAGAGAGAACAGGCAGAGAGAGAGAGAGCAGGCAGAGAGAGAGAGAAGAGGCAGCGAGAGAGAGAGCAGGCGGAGAGAGAGAGAGCAGGCGGAGAGAGAGAGAGCAGGCGGAGAGAGAGAGAGCAGGCGGAGAGAGAGAGAGCAGGCGGAGAGAGAGAGAGCAGGTGGAGAGAGAGAGAGCAGGCGGAGAGAGAGAGAGCAGGCAGAGAGAGAGAGCAAGCAGAGAGAGACCAGGCGCTGCAAGGAAGGGGGAGGCTGGCCCTGTGGTGACTGTGGAGGGAAAGAGAGTGTGAAAGGGTTGAGAGTGAAAGCTAAATAAAGAGAGAGAGAAACTGGCAGACAGAGGGTATGGTGTGAGAGAGAGAGAAATGGAGTATGTGACGGAGTCACAGGGGGACTGAAGTAGAGATAGAGGAATGAATATTATAGAAGAAGAAAAGCTTTCCGAGGATTGTTCATCTTCTCTCACAGCAATTTTCTGTTGACAGACAGACATGGGAAAATGAAATAAAATAAAGAACTGACAGTTTTACTTGTTTGACCAGACTGACCACATTATAGAAACACCAAAAGGCCTTTACACAGGAATTTACAAATCCAACATGATTTCCTGCAGATCATGGCCAGCCAAATGAATGATTGGAAGAGGATCACAACAGGGTTGATGCTTTGTTTATTGGTTTATTTGGATCCCCATTAGCTTTTGCAAAGGCAGCAGCTATTCTTCCTGGGGTCCACAAAAAACACAAAACATGACAAGTAACGAAACACTGGGCCTTCTGAGTGGCGCAGCGGTCTAAGGCACTGCATGCAGTGCTAGAGGTGTCACTACAGACCCTGGTTCGATCCCAGGCTGTGTCGCAGCCAGCCTCGACCAGGAGACCCATGAGGCGGCGCACAATTGGCCCAGCGTCGTCCGGGTTAGGGGAGGGTTTGGCCGGCCGGGATGTCCATGTCCCATCGCGCTCTAGCGATGCCTTGTGGCGGGCCGGGCGCATGCATGCTGACTACGGTGTACGGTGTTTCCTTCGACATATTGGTGCGGGTTAAGCAAGCAGTGCGGCTTGGCGGGGTCGTGTTTCGGAGGACGCATGGCTCTCGACCTTCGCCTCTCCCGAGTCCGTAGAGGATGGGACAAGACTGTAACTACCAATTGGATATCACTAACAAGTAAAGGTACACTGATAGACAGGTCGGCGAAAATACTGATTCTTCACACAGAGATTACTTGCTAGATATTGCTGCACTGTCAGAACTAGAAGCACAAGCATTTCGCTACAATCGCAATAACATCTGCTAACCATGTGTATGTGACCAATACATTTGATTTGATTTGAGATTAAGGGATTAGGTGGTGAACAGTAGCTACAGAGGTTTTCGTAGAACCCTCATTCAACTGATTTATCTATGGTTATATTCCAGGGAAGGTTACATTCTGCTTCTATTACATAGGAGCTTGTGTGCAAAAGTTTCAGTTAGGAATGCATGTGTCATGCAAGTTGATGAACCTTTCGTAATCAGAAGTACCGTCGGAGACCCTGAATATGTAATGTTTGTTATATCCTGTTTCTTTGAGATGAGCTTTGTTACAGTACTTCAACATAGATCAAATGATATACCTGTGTGGTCTCACTGTGCTCAATGCATACCTCCACCAGTGTTAAAGGGGAGGGCTGATCACGTGGATACTCAGTTCCAATAGTACCTGTTGTGTGAGAAAGCAGTCTGTACTGCAGTGTGTGAGATGTGTCACCAGTTCATCAGATGGCCAACAAGAACCGCCCTGGTACAAACAACCTAGAAACCAAATGTATTGTAGATATGTGTATTCATTTTTGTACTGTAGATTATTCATGTGTTGAAGTCACTGTGTTTTTACCAGCAACAGGCCAAAACCTGTTTCTCATATTTGTCATGGATCAAAATCCAGGATCAATAGCATTATTTAGTAGGGAAATGGGACTGTAATCAGTCTAGATATCTTGACATGTTATCTTTTAGTCCAACATGAATTATAACTCAGTCAGGGGGCTAAAGGTATGAGTGTATGGCAGATCTGCCAAGGTTGAAAACATGTTGTTGTTGTTCTTGTCATGACTGGTTAAGATTTATTTGTGAGATGGGACCAAAATCTTTTATCCAATAGGAACTTGGCAGATATTATCATTAAATGCTACCTATTCTTTCCTTTCCTTTAAAGCCATTCTGAACATGGACAACACTGTGGTGGACCTTGAGACCTTGCAATCCCTGTATGACAATGTAAGTTGTTTGCAATATATTCATGATTATACACTATGCTTTTTCATTGTAAACGTTTGATGACAAGAACTTTCACAAAAGAAAAAAAAAGAGTTTTGGGTTTCTCAACCTCCAGTCCGTGGACCTGTGCTGGTCCGTGGGGTTTTGCTGGCCACTGGTCCCTGAGGTGGTTAATTGACACTAATTTAGTCAGCACTACATTGAAAAAAACTACAATTCCCATCAATTAAGTGCACCTTCCTTGGAACATGTGGGAAGGCAGGCTTTTCAGAAACAGTCTTTGAATCTTTAGTCATTACCTAAGTCTTTATAGTATTTCCAGAATAGTTTAATGATTTTGTTGTGGATGTCAGTTCCACAGCATCTGCTCTGAACATGCCTCTGTATCTGGAGTTCATGTTCCATCTGGTCCACTTGAAAGGCGAACTAAAGGAAATGTGCTTTAAATACCAAAACAAACATGGACGCCACAATCCCTATTGGTATGTGTGGTATTTGGCCACAGAGTCAGCCCTGTGTACTGTATGTCTGCTGGAAGGGGATATACTTTTCTCTAGTAAACTTCTATTGTTGTTTAAAGAAGTTGGCTCCTCTCTTGTAAGACATGCATTATCATACAAGGGGAGTAGAGACACATTATCTCTATTGGGTTTTAATGTATTTCTCTCCACTGTTATAATAGGCACTGTTTTATTCAAGTACAATGGGATAATAGAATAATGTAATAAAGTTTGTTATTATTTAATTGCTTTAGAATAAGACTCCCTAGTACACCCTGCTGGTGGTGAAGGTTCCCATAGCTACATCATTAGCCCTGCAAGACGTAAAACGGCCAGTGGAGGCTGCTGAGGGGAGGATGGCTCATAATAATGGCTGGAACGGAGGAAATGGAATGGTATCAAACACATGGAAACCATATGTTTGATGTATTTGATACCATTCCACTGATTCCACTTCAGCCATTACCACGAGCCCGTCCTCCCCAATTAAGGTCCCACCAACCTCCTGTGGTTTAACCTCTCTCCCTCTTCTGTCTTGCCTGAGGCTGTGTTATTGAGTTGAGGAGCCAAATTGTTTCTCTTTTGTATTGCGAGACTCCATCCTGTCTCCCGGTCTCCAACCCCTAACCACAGTTGGCAGTGTAGCCACCCTGACTTCGGAATGAGGGGTTCTAATGGTTACACCCTCACAGTTCTAGAACACACTCACAAACACAGAGCCATGGAGAAGGTCACTCCTCACTTCACAGTAAGACGTGGAGTCACCCTGTCTGTGGGCTCTGAGAATATAACCACTACTGCTCTCACAACACAAACCCACAGGAAGGAAGAGGTCACTGTGAGGTACCCCTCCCCACAAATATCAGGAGTCGTAACCATCTCACACGACTCTTAGAAGTTCAGGGAACCCCTCCCAACACCACATCACTGTGCACATGATAAGCAACAGCATGACAAACTCCAACCCTTACACTCATGACATCTACTCATAGGCTGCGACTGCAGAGGTTGAGGAACATTATAACAACACTGACATTTTGAATGAAAAACACAGAATTGATGACAGTGACATGGGTCAGTACAATAATAGCACCTCAGGCTACGTTCTCACAGAACCCTTTCATCAGAAAATAATCTTGACTTGAAGTTTAGTGCCATACATGGGAGGTTTAGAAAAACAGAGTTGACCAGAAATAAAGGATTGTTCACATAGCAGTGACCTTTGGTCCAAAGTCATTTTCCAAAAGGTCACCTTTCTCTGTAATGTCACATGCAACTTTCTCTCATACTATCACAGCCAAAAAGAAATGTACCAATTCATAGATCTCACCATCATATCTTCTTGTCCACAAATTACTCCTCACGTTGGTACACCCACAAGTTTAAAAAGGACCTGTTTCATGTTAAATGTATTTACACTTTAAAACATGTTGTTAACCAGAACCAGAGCTTCCCCTCGCGGACCCAAGGCAGAGTGTGTTGAATACTAATTCACCCTGTGTTTGATGTGCTACTGCTGATTTATTCCTGGGCCAGGCTCTGGAGTCAACGTCAGGTCCCCTAGCCTGCTTCCTCAGACAAGCCTGAAGTCATGAGAGTTTGCTTACAGAGTTTACATTTCTCTGTGTCTGACGTTTTATGGTTTTGCATTCTGGATCAGACCTGTCAACCTCTATTGTCTTTGCCTTTGTTAAATGAGAGGCCATCTCTGTCCTGGTTTATTTTTGTTCGACCACCTTGTACTAAACTGTGGTTTTGTGTCGGAGAATGGGCAAATATGTTATAAATCGAAACCATACTATAGTGTTTATAAAGTATCTGCAAGGGCTGTATTTGACCACATTCAGTTCCCTTCTAAGTGAAAGAACAGGGTTTGTGTGCATGTACAGTATATCTCAAGCACAAGGTATTCTTTTGTGTTTCACTACTGTTACCCATTATCACACTCTTTACCTATTTCAGAGAGCCCAGCAAGACGAGATGGAGAAGATTGAGAAGCACATCAAGTCATCCAAAGATAAGGATGACAGAAAGCCATTGGACAAGCCTGAACAGTGAGAGCAAATGTTGGCCAAGAAAATCACTATTTCAAAATGGGGTCTGGTTAAGTCTTTTATCACTATCATCTTGTTCTTGTTCTATCCTCTTCTCTAAGGTTTCTCTTCCAGTTGTCCCAAATCCCCAATTTCTCAGGAAGGGTGTTTTGCATCCTCTTTCAATCAACCTTTGATGAATGCATCTCCTCCATCCTCCGGAAAGTTGAAATCCTTCAGAGAGTGTGTACTGTGAGTCTCCTCTACATCTGTCTGAAAACAGCCTGTAACGTTAGTGGACAATGTAATGTACAGCCATGCATCCAGAGTGTTCGGTGCATAAGGAATGAGAGCCATTATCTCTGCAGAGGGCAAATATTGATACCAGATGCACTGAAATGAACTATCTCTCGCTCTTCTTCTGTTTTGTCTATTTCCCCCTCTGTCTTCTCTATCCTCTCTCTTATATATTCTGTCTCTCATTTCCCTTTCTCCTCCTTTCATTTATCCTTCTCTACCTGTCTTCGTCCTCCCCTTCCTCTAACTCCCTCAACTCCTTGTCTCTGTCTTTCCCCATGCTGTGTATCAGATTCTGCAGAGAGGTCAGTGTGTGATGCAGGTGCTAGCTCTCGTCTTAGCTTTTGGGAACTTCATGAACGGAGGGAACCGATCACGCGGGCAGGCTGACGGCTTCACTCTGGACATCCTGCCCAAACTCAAGGACGTCAAGAGCAGTGTGAGTGTGTGTTGAGCTCGGACCATAACTGCTCTATTACGGTGCTTAGGGAATGGCTTTGTCCCCAAATGAGTGGGTGACTGACTGCTTGTTAGACTTTTGGTGTACCACCAGTGGTGTCCTGTAAGAACATAGTGGTCAGTGTTTTCAGTATTGGAATCCCAGAGAGGTGCCCATAAAGAATATAAGACAAGTTACCAGCAGAGATTTCACTTGTGTTTGATGCATTGCTTTGCGGTGCTGAACTTCTAAGTGAAAACATTCTGCTCTAAAATGATTAGATTAATGACAAAAAGGATTTACGGTTTATTTATTTGGTTTATTTATTTCTCTCTTTCAGGATAACTCTCAGAGTCTTTTGTCATACATCGTTGCTTACTATCTAAGGCACTTTGATGAGGTATGTTTTAGTTCCTGTTTATTTGAACCCCTTTCTGATTTACTCTGATTTGCTGAGATATCTTTCCAGACCCCTTTTCATCTTCCTTCTCGCCAGAGGATAGCGTGGCTTATTTTTTAATCAAATTATTTATTTTCCTTTCCCCCATTTTGCAACAGTTCCCTCTCAGTTCAGGCCGACCTGTACTACGTTAGCTGGCACAGGATCCAAAGGGGGCCTATTGTAAATAATTAGGTTAGCCAGATGAGATGAACTCAGCCGAGAGTATGTTGCCAACATCAACCTACATGACACTGTTCTGGGCTCCTAATGGCTCCCTGGTAACACTGATGGACAGCATAAACGTATTCTTCGATTACAATGGCTCCTCTCTAGCTGATGACTATAACCACTACCACCATGCAACCGTATCTTATTGGGAATGTTTGGACTACTGATAAGATACTACTGATATCCCAATCTTACCTGAGATGTATGCTGGAGAGGGTTGCTCTGGTCTTTGATGATGATTGACTTTGACTGTGTGTGTGTGTGTGTGTGTGTGTGTGTGTTGTCAGGACGCAGGTAGAGAGACCTGTGTCTACCCTCTCCCTGAACCCCAGGACCTCTTCCAGGCCTCTCAGATGAAGTTTGAGGACTTTCAGAGAGATCTACGCAAGCTAAGGAAAGACCTCAACGGTGAGACTGGCTCCCACAAATATATTTTTCTCCATTGGAGCTCCATTTGCAAACCTTGGACTGTATATCACCAACACCAGGTAGTAAACCTGAATCAACGTTGATTATGACAGGTGTCACATCATGTTTATGATCCATTGTGTAGAGTTTATGAAAGTATAACTCGGGTGAAATGCATCCCTGTATCTCTATCATGGGAATTTCTTCCAAGTGTGCCCAACCATAGTGCTGTCTTGATCACGGAACAGGGTCAACAGATAGCATCTGTTTGTCGTACAGACCACCAAACCAGATGGAGAGTCAGGAGCTGACTCCTGTAGAATCCGCTAGGTGCGCTTTTACTGTCCTCACAACACAGAGATCCAAACAAGCGAGGTTCAGAGGGCTTCTCCTACCTGTGTGCCCCAGCTCAGGCCCCTCAGAGTGGGTCAAGGGCCTGGAGAGGCCTCCTTATTTATGCAGCACCCGCATACTCACATGGGGTGGCGCGCAATTGGCCCAGGTTAGGGGAGGGAATGGCCGGCAGGGATGTAGCTCAGTTGATAGAGCACGGCGTTTGCAACGCCAGGGTTGTGGGTTCGATTCCCATAGGGGGTATGAAAAAAAAAAAATGTATGCACTAACTAACTGTAAGTCGCTCTGGATAAGAGCTTCTGCTAAATGACTAAAATGTAAATGTAAATTACAAACCATAAGATCTGAAGGTCCCATAATTAAAACCTTCAAAACTATCAGTGTACTGGGTGGGTAGCAATAATGTTTGACAGCCATCCAGTAGAGCAAGAACAGAATATAGTCTGTGTATCCTTTTTATTATAGTTCAACCTAAATACTAGGTCACTTCGCATATAATACAAGTCCAGGTAGCATTTATGAAAATGTTTTGGAGGTTTACAGGGAATTACTGCGATCAGGCTTGGCTGAAAGTCTGTAAAGTCTTTTCCCAACAAAAAGCCCTGATGAAGTGTGGAAATGAGATTATACACTTAAAGCCAAGCTCATTGGTTGAAAACAAAATCCCTGTGCGACCGAATTAATGACTGAATGGGGAAATACTTATTATATTCATTAGTCAGTCCTGACTCATTCAACACTTACAGCACGTTATAGGGGTCTACAGGTGGGGAAACATTAACGCTAACAGAGTGCATCTATTTTATATGTGTCGATCAAGAATAATCACCCAAATCTCCTCTGTTCTCTATCATGTTTTATGTATCTTACTGTTAAACCTATTGTTTTTTACTGCACTGCAATCAATCTTCTCATTATTTCTAACGCGTGAAGATCGGGTTGCCCAGGTCCATTGGGAGGCTGACTCACTTACTCATTCCCAATGGCAGTGTACCATGATGGCGTACATAAATGCTTCATCACATACTGTAGGGTTCTCTTTACTTTAGAGCTGAGTGTTGTAACAGATGTGGGCTTCGATGACAGTTGCCTTGGGATTAGGTTAATTAGTAGGCGTCCCACAGCAGTGGGCTTGTATGGCCCTCAGGACAACAGCTAGCTCCACAGAGGGGGCCATATGGTCAACCAATTAACTCCGAGAACTCTGGCAGGCAAGTTTTTGGATTCATCATGGCCGCTGATGGACCGTGACTCTGGGGTGCGTCAAGGGACGCTTAAGGGGTCTGCAGGTTCCAAGGGTATCACTCATTGTTTGGAGAAAAGTATTAGGGTGAATGGGAATGCATCATTACTGGTTAGTTTGCCGTTGCCCAATCCATTATGTATGGTAATTAGCCCCAATTACACAAACAGGTAGAGTGTAATATTGCAATGTCAAAAATAGTATTTACAAGCTGTCTCATTCTTTTTCTTCCTTCTTTGTGCTCCTCCACTCCAGCATGCTCGGCCGAGACAGAGAAGGTCTGTCAGGTCTCTTCTGAAGAGCACTTGCAACCCTTTAAAGAGAAGATGGAGGAGTTTCTGAGCCAAGGTGAGTTTCCGAACACAGAGTACAGACAGGCAAGAGGTGAAGGTGCCCCAGTTGTGGTTACTTGACAAATGACTCAACAATCACTGAGGCCATTTTGGGTTGTGGCTGAGACAAATGGACCATTGATCAATGATAAGGGAAGCCATTTTGGTTCTTCAAGTGAGAGTCAAGCTTCGAGACGGGTCATTGATACCCCTTATCCTTGGTGCAACTAAAGTGTAGCTGTCCCAAAGATGGAGGCCAATAACTAATGCCTCAGATATCCCACTGGATTATGTTCAGTGTCAGAATACCTGACATGAGGAAGCCATCTTGGATCTGTGTTAGAGAATAGAGTGTAGAGATGGGCAGTTGATCATCATGCTAACCTTTGGTTAGACTGCACTGCATCTGTCCTGCCAAGACTGATATCTCAGTTGCTCTTCTGGTTAATGTACAGTGTTTGGAAGGAAGACATGTAGAGACCATCATTCTACCTGCTCAGACCTGCACCTTGTGACTATTTGCACTGACTCTCCACACATCAAACCCTTACACACAAACACACACAAGCACACACACACACACACACACACACACACACACACACACACACAGTCAATGCAGCTGTTCTATTATATACTATTTATTCAACTGCATGACCAAGTCACTACCCACTTTATATTGTAAATACAGTCATACTTGACATAGCACACTGTATATTGTGTACATATCAGGTTATTACAATGCATACTATCTTCTTCTAATAACTTATTTTATTATTGTACTGCAATGTTGAGGGAGTTAGCATTTCACTGCACCTTTTATACCTGCTATAAACTGTGTATGTGACGAATGCAATTTGATTTGATTTTGATTTGATTCAACGCAGTTTCCATGGAGACCTCTGCTTATCCCAGACTGCATTGAATAACTCAAGGCTATTGTTTCAGCTTTGTCCCTATGTTATGATGAGCTGTAGCAGCACCTGTTAGCTGAGCCTTTGACCTGTCTGAAGGACATTTCAAGAGCAGACGTACACCCAGGCCAAACATTAACACATAATGAGGACTACAGGCGGGATTGGACCCTGACAGGGTAGATAGTGTAACTGTAATGGCAATCTGGTTTGTCCTTGTCTTCCTCCTCCTGGTCATTCTTCACCTCTTGTCTTTCCCTTTTTACTGTATGGCCTCTGGGAGAGCCTCCTCTCTCAACTTCACTCGTTTACTCTCTCGTTCCCTCCATTCCTCCCTCCGTCATATCAGGAAATCAAATAAACACTTGGAGGAAGCTGTTTACCCTGGGAACAGTTAAAACAGGGATGATGAATTAGCAGCGGAAAGAGCGCTGATGATGAATCCACCTAGCGCCTTCCCTCTGCGATCGGCCATGTTTGTTTTCATTTGACCACAGTGTGTTTGTTATCACCCTCCCTCCCAGAGCCTTTCAACAACCTCCCTTGAAAGAGTACCTTCACCACTGCATCTCAGTCCTTTTAACCTCACTCTGAGGTAAAGCATAGAAAACTCTGTTTAAAAGAATGGAACTATGCTCATCATAACAGACGAAGTAAGGTTTGGTTGTCATGTCTATTAAAACATGTAGGATGACATTCTAGGCAGTTTTACATAGCAGGGTATTTCTAGCTATCTGTTCCCTTTCTTCTTGTAATTCTGAGCTCACTGGCCCTTCTCAAGTGCTGTTCTATTCAAATGAGAGTTGGTAATCTATAACACATGCTCTTCCACTATGTTGCTCACTGTCCTTGAGTCCAACTTTAAAGGAAGCCTGGATGAAAGCGTCTCTCCGAAATAAATATTGGGTTTTCCCTTTGATGCAAATGACGAGGTTGTCCTCAGAGAGAGGAATGTTCGATGTAACACTGACATGTGACTTGGAAGGCTCCAGACTAAATTCGCTGGGTGCCTCCACTGCGGCAAAAAAAGAGCAACAACAGCAATGTCTTATTTGTGTTATTTCTATAATTTCAGACCCTGGAGTTAAACAGTTTCTGGCTCCACGGTTTCTACCACTCTTGTTTATTTTCTGACCATGAAACTAACCACAGAATAACACTGAAAGGGGACTCGTAGGAACGGCACTGTTTGGTCTAGCTCGATTTTCCCCGCTTGTTTCACAGATTCTCATGCATGCGATGCCTTTGATGGAGTCTCTGTGCCTCCGAACAGAACATTGGCCATGTGATAATCTGTTTCTGATGGAAATATTAAGATTAGTAATACTGGCTGCATGCTCTCTTCAGGGGACTGACTACTGCCTTGGCTAGAAGGGTTGCCTACTCATACCATGTCAGATAAGATTTATTCTGTGTTGTCCTAAATCAATTTCTAAACCTCTTGGTATTGTACTGACATGTGTATATAAGGCCGGTATTAACTCACCCTATACAGTGCATGATGTATGAAATTCAAAATGGATTCCGTACTTCTTTGCTGATTGTTATGCTGTTGCATTGATCTGATGACATCCATCCTGTTCTGATTTCTGATTGGTTATTGATGAGCAATAGGAAGCAGATGTAGAAGAGAGCATCAGTTATAGGATGATTTAGTACAGGGAGCCGTGGACAAAAGTGATCGTCCCATTGTACATGTCAGCGTTTCTTAGATGTCGCTCTGGCTTCAATTACACGCAGCGATTTGATGTTCCCTGGATAAAGACAGGCCGAAGATCCATGCCAAGAAAGATTCCTAACCCGTCTGCTTTAGTGGATGTCTTGGAAAGCAATGAAGAGGTTTTAGGTTTCTATGGATTTGGATGCTACCCTTGAAGGAACTAAGAATGGTATATATCTACTAGCAGGATTGTGTGTGAAAGCAAAAGCAATATAGCTGGAGAAACACGCAGATGAGATTGGCTGGGGTTTGAACCCGGGTCGTCTGCACGCCACAAGACTGTTGTTAGTCCAAAAGCAAGCGTGGTTCACCGAACCACCTAAGGTACAGTTCACCTTAGCTTTGACATCCTTGTCTGCACACTACAAGACTGTGTCAGCCCACTCAACTAAAACGTTGGCCTATAGGCATTTTCTCAGGTAGCTAATGCAAGTCAGGTCTCAGACAAATATTGGTTCACCAGAACACCTTAGTTACAGTATCACAGACTTCCTCAATATCTCGATGAAGTTACTGCACTGTAAAAAAAAAAAAGAAGAAAAAAAAAAGATATTGATTCAATGTACAATTGTAAGGCAACCAGCTGCAATAGGATTGTGAGTTTGCTCAACAAAATGTTCACACACAAACTTTTGTTGTGAGTTTGCTCAACACATTTTTTTTTGTTGCAAACTCACAATCCTATTGCAGCTGGTTGCCGTACAATTGTACGTCGAATCAACATATTTGTTTATACAGGGTGGAAGGAGAGAGAATTATGAAAAAATCCTCCTAAGGCTAAGGATATCCTCTGGAATTCCTCTGAGTTTGAGGATATTTCACAATAATTCCCTGAACTCATTAATACTAAATGTACACAAATAACACTTGCCTAGAAAACCATGGTGTTCATTTGTCAGTGGTGTCACCGCAGTCAGTTCAACACACAATTACATGAACTAACCCTGAAAATGACAGCAAGTGTTATTAATGGTGATGTGTGAAATCCTGTGCAAACTGTCTATAAAGGGGAAACCCAGTCATTCTGCCTATATGAGAAATTGTTTAAGCTACACTACTTGGACAAAAGCTTGTCGAACATCTCATTCCAAAATCATGGCCATTAATATGGAGTTGGTCCCCCCTTTGCTGCTATAACAGCCTCCACTCTTCTGGGAATGATTTCCACTAAATGTTGGAACATTGCTACGGGGACTTGCTTCCAGTCGGCCACAAGAGCATTAGTGAGGTCGAGCACTGATGTTGGGTGATTAGGCCTGGCTCGCAGTCTGCATTCCAATTCATCCCAAAGGTGTTCGATGGGGTTGAGGTCAGGGCGCTGTGCAGGCCAGTCAAGTTCTTCTACACCGATCTCGACAAACCATTTCTGTATGGACCTCACTTTGTGCACTGGGGCATTGTCATGCTGAAACAGGAAAGGGCCTTCCCCAAACTGTTGCCACAAAGTTGGAAGCACAGAATCGTCTAGAATGTCATTGTATGCTGTAGCGTTAAGATTTCCCTTCACTGGAACTAAGGGGCCTAGCCCGAACCATGAAAAACAGCCCCAGAACATTATTCCTCCTTCACCAAATGTTACAGTTGGCACTATGCATTGGGGCAGGTAGTGTTCTCCTGGCATCCGCCAAACCCAGATTTGTCCGTCGGACTGCCAGATGGTGAAGCGTGATTCATCACTCAGGAGAACGCGTTTACACTGCTCCAGAGTCCAATGGCGGCGAGCTTTACACCACTCCAGCCGACTCTTTGAATTGTGCATGGTGATCTTAGGCTTGTGTGCGGCTGCTTGGCCATGGAAACCCATTTCATGAAGCTCCCAACAAACAGTTATTGTGCTGACGTTGCTTCCAGAGGCAGTTTGGAACTCGGTAGTGAGTGTTGCAACCGAGGACAGACGATTTTTACGAGCTAAGTGCTTCAGCACTCAGCGATCCCGTTCTGTGAGCTTATGTGGCCTACCACTTCGCGGCTGAGCCGTTGTTGCTCCTAGACGTTTCCACTTCACAATAACAGCACTAACAGTTGACCAGGGTGGCTCTAGGAGGGCAGAAATTGTATGAACTGACTTGTTGGAAAGGTGGCATCCTATGACAGTGCCACGTTGAAAGTCACGGGCCATTCTACTGCCAATGTTTGTCTATGGAGATTGCATGGCTGTGTGCACGATTTTATACACCTGTCAGAAACGGGTGTGGCTGAAATAGCAGAATCCACTCATTTGAAGGGGTGTCCACATACTTTTGTGTATTTATCAATACTGATAATAAAACCTTGTTCTATAGCTTATGTGTAACCGGCCGCATTGTTATCATCACCGCATTGTATCTTTATGTTTTCCATAATAATTGAACTAGTAACTACAGTAGCTCATGGGATGGAGTACCACATGTACAGTATATAATGATCCATTACTGCTGAACTCTGCATACTGTCTGATGTTATCCTGTTGAGTGGCTTGCTATGCCTATATTCTGACTATGTTTTCTCTCACAGCAAAAACTCATCTGGAGGCACAAGAAACACAACTAGAGAACACTCATAAGATGTAAGAATACACCTGATGTGATTTTTTCAGATGTTAGAGCTTCAGTATGATAACATTGGGACAATGATAATGTTGTGTCACAACAGCTTACTAAATTATCAGCTAAGTTCACTCTTTACTGCGCTGTGTCAATGTTTAGATCCCCAGGCTACATGGAACATGTACCTCTACCTCTAGATGGCCTTTACTGCGGGTCATGTGATAGACTAAAGGTGTCCAGTGTCTGGGTTGTTTATCCAAGCAGAGCCAGAGTAGACAGCGTTGGCTCCAGGCTTCTGTTAACACTAGGCAGGAATGTGTTCCCCCCAAACTCCAGGGTATTGATCAAGCACAAAACCAGGGCATTTGTCACTTTCACGTGTGCTCTCTCTTCCTCTATTTATCTTTCTCTCCTGTTTGTCTCTCTCTCTCTCTCTCTCTCTCTCTCTCTCTCTCTCTCTCTCTCCTCTCCTCTCTCTCTCTCTCCTCTCTCTCTCTCTCTCTCTCTCTCTCTCTCTCTCTCTCTCTCTCTCTCTCTCTCTCCTCCTCCTCTCTCTCTCTCTCTCTCTCTCTCTCTCTCTCTCTCCCCCTTTCTTTATGTGTTTGTCTCTGAGACTTGAGCACAGTGAGATTCATTTCCTTTAAAGGTTTTATAACCTTTTCATCTGGAATTTTATGTGTGGAGGGAGAATATCACTTTTATGTTATCGACTTAGGAAAGAATGTGATTGTGGCAGCTAATACATTCTAGTATTTCTTTGTGTACTGTTCTGAAATGTCCAGTCACCTTTACTTAGCATACTTCCATATCAAGTGTTTTTGTGAAATGCTCTTATTTTTCTAAGATTAACTTTCACATTTCACATATTTATTATAAGCCTGCAGGTTTCACAATAACTTAGTGTTTCTGTAATCTACAGTTGTAATTTGGGTATTTTGGGTTTGATGTAATGTTTTTGTTCTTTCTATCCTCAGTTTTCTGGAGCTGAGCGTGTTCTTTTCAGTCAAGGCCAAGGCGGGCGAGAAGGAAGTCTCTCCCAACACGCTGTTCTCTGTGTGGCATGAGTTCTCCACTGATTTCAAAGAGCTTTGGAAGAAGGAAAACAAACGGAGGTTACAGGAACGGTAAGGATTGGTGCAAGCGGTGTTTTGCAGTCCTTTTATGTGTGTTGAGTCTTATCGTATTCAATGAAAGACACTCTTTGCTGGGTCTAACTTTGTGGAGGGTTGTACAATGTATGTTCTGACCTTCTACAGACCTACCATAGACCTACCATAGACCTACCACAGATCGACTGTACGGTACATGTCAACTTTACTACTATATCTCCCTGGAACACAATGAACCTACTGTTTCACATTCACCCTCAAGCACACCAAGCACATTACCTTGACAAGCCAAGTGAAGTCATCCGTCAGCTTAGTGTGTAGAATAAAGCACCTTGACTGAGGTCAAATGTAGTGCACCTTGAGCTCTTCGACTCCCCTTGAAACAATAGAGAAGGCTGTGTGTTGTAACAACCAAGGATGCTGTGGCAATCAAACACCATTAATCCCAGAATGGAGTAGATGTTTTATGTAATCATCTCGTAGAAGGGAAATGGATCAGACAAACGTACATTTTGATTCCTATAGATATATTCATATTTCTATTGAACCTACCCTGTGCGGTCAATATCAAGCAGAAAGTCAGGAGTCGCCATAGATGAGAGTGTTGAATCTTCAGTGTTGGAATGAATGATCCCCAAACATGAGTTTCCAATAGCATGCATCACATGTTCACTATTAGATCCTATCAGAGTCATTCAAATTCATAGACAAGATAAGAGAGAGAAGGGTTGAAACGACCCAGATCGGTTTCTTAACCTCAATAATGAAAAGAACACATGAGCGATTCTGTTAGCTTCCAGTGGTTTGATGGGTTTAGAGATAGCATTTGAAAAGTCAACAAATGCTAATTGTTTCGTTCTGCTGGATGTAGATTACATTGTGATATGTATTTGTAAAATAAAAAGTCATGTCTTGTGTTTTGTTCATTTGCGGAATGATGAAAACAAAGTTGTATTCATTAACTATCTAGACAATTTAGACATTTAGACTCCCCCCCTCAACCTGACTTACTACAAAGGCATACCAAATTTGGACAAACACGCACACACGTGAATTTACTGGTGTAGAATGTATTTTTTTACAGCGTGCAGTGTTGAGAGTCAGGCCACTGAATGGTTTAAAGCTGGCTCTATCATCACAGTGGATCAGAAAGGGGCTTCTTAAAACATTGGAACTGGTCACCCATAACTTTCTCCTGTGTAAACAGCACAGACCCAAACCTTGCCTGGAGAACCTCACTGCTGAATTGCCTGACCTTTTACTACTGCTATCATACCTTATCTCCATTTCTAGGAGAAGGTACATTCAAATGCAAGCGTGTGTATATTACAAATGCATGGCTGAAACTAGTGGTGTCTTTTCAGACTGAAAATGGCAGAGGAGGTTTTCAAACAAGCCAGAGAGAAGGCCTCGTACAGCGTCAAACCCAAACAGTCCTCTGGAATAGTGAGTTCTCTTGTAGTCTATTTTTCCTTTGTCCTAAATACTTTTCTCCTAACACCTTTCTGTATATCTTCTGTCTCCTTATTCCTCATAATATACAAATGTAGGAACTTAATTTGACCTTTAGAAAATAATCTTGCAGCAATAGGATTTTAATGTATAGTCAATTTATGTAAATCACGAAGCTCATCTGCATGGAAAATTCTCAGCAACAAAGGAGTGATCAAATGAAGATCATACATCTGTATTTTCCCCCTTCTCACTCCTCGTTTTAAAAATCTCTGTATAAATCCCACCCGTCACCACTTTATTTTAGTGTCAAAATGCAGGGATTAATTCATTTACGTGCCCCATTGTAATGTCTGAAACTCACTTCCATCTGTTTTGAATTCCACAGAAAGCCAAACTGGGTCAGAAGATCTGAGCCAATGGACTGGAGAAGTCTTACCCAGGAAAGTTTGCACAAGTGAGATCAACACAATCTGATATGTCTTTTTAGCTATTGTAAATAGTTTATTTCTGTCATCCAACTGGTTATACATGTAAGTATGCCCAACAGGTTGTTACCGTGTTGGAAAGTTTGATATAAACACAGTACCATGCTTTGGCGCAGTCTGTCAATGAGAGATTTCCCCCAAGTCCAAAGAAAGTATTGTGCTGTCCAAAGTAAGTATTGTAGAATGAATTAAACAGTTAATTATTTTTGGACAGATGCCATTTTAATGAGAAATGCATCGTTTTCCAGTGAGACACACATGTTGTGGTATCTAGCCTATCCCCTGTAGCATTTGATAGAAGACACCAGTTAAGACAATCATGTTTCTATCCAATAAGCCATTTCTATCCATATATGCACTGCCTTCCACTATAAAAAGGAGCACAAGAGTGAGCTTGTATATATTTGCTTACCAGACAGCAAGTGCCTTTATAGCACACTGAGCTAGTTAATGACAAATGAGCCAATGAAATGAATCTACATTACTCTGACAATACAACCTGTATGGAAACCAGACCTGCTTAGTGAAAACCTGCATTGTGACAATCATCAGTTTATCATACATTGTAGTTTCATAGAAGGATGATACATGATGTACAGTTGTAGTTTATGCAATAAATCATGAACTTAACCATGACTTGAGCTTAGCTGCTAAGGTATTTAGTACTAAGGTATTCAGTACTAAGGTATTTAGTAGGTCATCAGGATTTCACATCATCCTCTATTGTTTTTTATTATGGAACCATAGCTACATGTTGAAATAATATTATACAGTGAGAAATACTGATGTAAAATATAACTCTAAAAAATAACATTATCCACATTACATGTAAAATTATATGCAATCTGTATGTGACATATCATGTATGATTTGTATGTTTGAATTGTTTTCCTGTACTATGTTCTGTTGGAGCCTTGTAGAGCTGTTGGTGACTGTGTCCCCATGTGCAATAACGCCTTTGTTCCTGATAAAATACTATTTATTGAAGATGAATCATCCTGAAAGTCTTTATCTGAATAGTTGTTGAGCCTATTCTTCTCAACCATCATTAGTCAACCATATCCTTTAATGCCACAACATTGTTTGCATTCAGACCACACAGATGTTTCACATGAAATAGATTTTATATATATTTATAGCTAATTATCTTTTGACATATACATATATATTTATAGTACAACAGTTATACATAAAATAATAATATCATTTATTTACTGGCTAGCTTGATATTTGTGTGAAATATTTCACAGGTGGCTCTGAAATCCACAGGCAAATACTTAGACAGACTAGGGGTCTTTCTCTCAATCTGAAGCCCTATTGGCTGGACAGTTCCCCCAGGTAAGCCCAGTCCACAACACAACACAACATGCCATAGACAGCTGAAGAGCTCCACTTTCAGTCTAGAACTTGGTGCTGTGTTTATGGTTTTATATGTCCCTTCTAGAGCCAAAGGCCAGCTGAAAGGGGCCTTCAGTCCATGGCCATAGGTAAGGTAATATTACCAGTTTGTATAGAGTTGAAGGACCCAGTGGTTTTATATGACTGACTGTGTTGAACTGAAACATGTCTGTGCTTCAGTTGGTGTTGTGCTATGCTTCCATTTATGTCTTCGCTTTGCAGTTTCACCATAGCTGTCCATATAGTCAAAGGTCTAATAGATGGGCCACTCTGTACTACCAGTACCTGTAGGGTTCATTTAGTGTGACCAGTAGACCTGTGTACAAAGTGATGATGCAGAATAGTCCAATATAAGGGAGAGGTACTTGTCCCCTGTCATGTCTATGCTATTCATGTTCATGTTAACATTCACTTTCACAGTCACATTAGTGTCCATGGTGACTGTCATGGTCTGGTTCCGAAGAATTCCTCACAGTTTTCCGTTACCACTCACGTCCACCGACATACAGCGACACTGTTTGACACGCTGCACCTTGCGATGGCGAAAGGCCGGTTGCAGACCTGGACAGTCCAACTGCACAGTGAGCTGCGTGATGCGGTGCGGCCTGCAGAAGGAACAGGACTGGAAGGGCTCTTGGGCCTTGTTGTGGTTCTTCCGGCCGGACCCTGGGCCTCGATTTGAGCTGGGGCTCATGTGGCGGGGGATGTAGAAGGAGTTACACTGGCCATAGCAGAAGCGGTTGACCACTGTACGACTCCGGCAGCCCTCCTCGCTCACTGTCTGGCGGAGGGGTTGCGTCTTGCACCAGTCACGTCGGAGGTACCGGCGCTCCGTGACCACCAGGGCCTCCCGACTTGACGAAAGGACTTCGGGTTTCCGCGGCAACAGGCGCTGACGCTCCGACAGGTTGCCTTTGGTCTTGAAAAGTGAGGGGATGGAGCCCTGGGGGCGGGGCTTCCTGGTCTCTGTGGCAACACAGAGCACCCCAGCCAGTAGGACCGGGAGAGTGATTCTCCAAAACATTCTGGGAAAGAGTAGACAGAAAGGTTAGTTTCAGTGCTACACAACTAAGATTGAGCCTTGTACATAAACAGTGACTATACTGTGACTAGAATGTATTGGTTTAAGAATGTAGCGAGGTTGAGTCTACTGGGTATGTCTCAATCCTGAAACTATTCCAGTGCAACAGCACTCCGTCTGTGTGTGTATGCTTTGGTGTTTAGCCTATGTATGTGTGTGAATGTTCACGTCATGTTGAACTGCCCCCTCCTCTTTCGTCTGCCCTTTAAGGAATCATTGAGTTAATCAATCGTTCATCTTGTCAACGTCTCTGTGTCAATACTTCTATTTGCTTTCTTCTCAGCTACAGAACTCTTCCAAAAATAAACATGTCTTGCCATCAAAGGAAACCCTTAAACACCCATAATGAGAAAAGGAAGTTGATTTTATTGGTCTCGTCGCCGGTTAAAATAATTAGGGCTTTGCTTACTCTAGTCATGAACTATGCCGCAGATATGTAAACATGCATTAGTAGGCCCATCTGAATGTTATTAGGGGAGGACAAGAGTACCCTGTGGGTCCCCATTCCCACTCTGTGACCAAGCCCTATGAGCACTATAAACTGCCTCTCTCCACACTGTCGACTGGCAGATGTGAGACTGAGATTAAACCCTCAATAAACACACATACATATACATACACACTCACACACACATACAATTCACAATGTAATCCCAAAAAAAGGTATGTAGAATTGGGAAAAGGTATGCTTTAAGTTGAATACCTTTGTTGGGACAGAGAATTACTGCCATGTATCTGTGTTAATGCCAGTACAATTTGTCAATCACTCAAAAATCTTTGCAACAGATGTTGTTCTTGAATTGCATATACAGTATAAAGTAAGAATTCTGAATGCGGACCAAAAGCCCCACAAAGTCATTGGCCACTCCTATTCCCTGAAATACTTATTTGCTGTGCAAATGTTACATCCCTTCTCAATTTCTTGGACTCAAACACAATTGGATGTGGGACAATAACTTTATCATAATCCACTTTTGGTTTCTGTCTCTGTTTAGTTTCTGCTCTTGACCCTGGGTGAAGAGCGCTCTGCCCTTTTAAGCTCTCTTTGTCTCAATGAAACTGTCCCACTGTTCACAGTAATCTATTGATCAGCTGTATCTATGACCAGAAAGTAATAAAGTATAGAACAGCAGAGCCAGGAACCATGAGGCTGGTGGAGGGCTAGGTACTGGTATACCCAGGAACCATGAGGCTGGTGGAGGGCTAGGTACTGGTATACCCAGGAACCATGAGGCTGGTGGAAGGCTAGGTACTGGTATACCCAGGAACCATGAGGCTGGTGGAAGGCTAGGTACTGGTATACCCAGGAACCATGAGGCTGGTGGAGGGCTAGGTACTGGTATACCCAGGAACCATGAGGCTGGTGGAGGGCTAGGTACTGGTATACCCAGGAACCATGAGGCTGGTGGAGGGCTAGGTACTGGTATACCCAGGAACCATGAGGCTGGTGGAGGGCTAGGTACTGGTATACCCAGGAACCATGAGGCTGGTGGAAGGCTAGGTACTGGTATACCCAGGAACCATGAGGCTGGTGGAAGGCTAGGTACTGGTATACCCAGGAACCATGAGGCTGGCGGAAGGCTAGGGACTGGTATACCCAGGAACCATGAGGCTGGTGGAAGGCTAGGTACTGGTATACCCAGGAACCATGAGGCTGGTGGAAGGCTAGGTACTGGTATACCCAGGAACCATGAGGCTGGTGGAGGGCTAGGTACTGGTATACCCAGGAACCATGAGGCTGGTGGAAGGCTAGGTACTGGTATACCCAGGAACCATGAGGCTGGTGGAAGGCTAGGTACTGGTATACCCAGGAACCATGAGGCTGGTGGAGGGCTAGGTACTGGTATACCCAGGAACCATGAGGCTGGTGGAAGGCTAGGTACTGGTATACCCAGGAACCATGAGGCTGGTGGAAGGCTAGGTACTGGTATACCCAGGAACCATGAGGCTGGTGGAAGGCTAGGTACTGGTATACCCAGGAACCATGAGGCTGGTGGAGGGCTAGGTACTGGTATACCCAGGAACCATGAGGCTGGTGGAGGGCTAGGTACTGGTATACCCAGGAACCATGAGGCTGGTAGAGGGCTAGGTACTGGTATACCCAGGAACCATGAGGCTGGTGGAGGGCTAGGTACTGGTATACCCAGGAACCATGAGGCTGGTGGAAGGCTAGGTACTGGTATACCCAGGAACCATGAGGCTGGTGGAAGGCTAGGTACTGGTATACCCAGGAACCATGAGGCTGGTGGAGGGCTAGGTACTGGTATACCCAGGAACCATGAGGCTGGTGGAGGGCTAGGTACTGGTATACCCAGGAACCATGAGGCTGGTAGAGGGCTAGGTACTGGTATACCCAGGAACCATGAGGCTGGTGGAGGGCTAGGTACTGGTATACCCAGGAACCATGAGGCTGGTGGAGGGTTTAGAGAAGAGGACTGAATGGATGGAGGATGATGGTGGTCATGAGAAGGACAAGGGGAGTTGAACCTCTTCAGTGTCTTCCAGAGCAATTGATGCGTGATGAGAACGTTTACATAATTCATGCATTGATGTCAGTAGGAGATTTCTGTGAAAGTTCAAGTTACGCACGACTAAGTCTGGCTCAACTCTATCATGAGGACAAATCTCTTACACACACACACACACACACACACACACACACACACACACACACTTGACCACAAAGGGTCAAACCTAATGATGATGTTACCTTCTGTCCCCACTGCATGTCGTAACCCTCCTCCATCATTCAATGATCTACTCACCAGTTAAACAAATGCATTTGTCCCTAAAAACATTCAGTGACTACTGATCAGAATGGATTAAGTCAATCCAACACAGCGGGCTTCCTGGAAAGTTTTTTCTCTCTATTTCCCCTTCATTAGTTAAGAAGACCAGCCCAGGTCTGGTGAGTTTAAAGGCCCTAGGGGTTGGAGGGATATCCTGACTGTGTACACAGCAGATGACAGATATGTTATATAGTCAGTGCTTCAGTCCTTCTCCACTTCCAAACTTTGCCTAAGTATGATACAGACGACCCTGCCAGCTATCGTCATCAATCTCCCAGCAAGACAAATTGCGGTTTGGAGGTTGGGGGGGAAGTAGTGGGGGATAATGATAGTGTACAGAGAGACTGTTGGAAAACAAAACAAACTATTTAGCCCTGACTTTAGTGCTTGCGGCCCCCCTCATCCACCCCCCTGACTCTCTCTCTCACCAATCATCATGGAGTCTGAGCCGGAGGGAGACTGTGGTTTTTGTATTATCGGTGAGACAGCTGAACTGGACCATGCTATCTGTCCACAAACAGGGCCACTGCATGTTATATCACAACCACAAATACCAGGCTCTATACGCTTGAATGAACCATCTCAGACCTCAGGTCTACAAATACTGAACCAAAAACAAAACTGGGATAGCTATCTCCCAGAGTAACAATTGCCCATGGCAACTTGAGCTTTACTGACCGCAGTGGGTAGCTACACTTGGATGAACTTTCCGTCTGCACCACAGTACCAGCGCCTCTATTGTAATACATCAACTATGATAGGTCAAGGGTTCTTCAATAATGAAATCTGCTAATTATTCAGTCAATAAGCTCAAAGCAGTACCTTCCACATGGGCCCTGAAATAAAGTGTTAGCAATGACAAGAACAAGAACAGGCCTAAAATGACAGGTCAAAACAAAGCCTGTGTTACACAATAATTATAGCAAAGTGTGTCAGGAAATGTAATAGACGGATAACTGACATCAATTATTGTTTTCAATTCAACAGGCCAAAGCTCACACACAGAAAACAAAACTCTGTGTTTTTACAGTGCCTTGCAAAGTATTCATCCCCCTTGGCGTTTTTCCTATTTTGTTGCATTACAACCTGTAATTTAAATTGATTTTTATTTGGATTTCATGTAATGGACATACACTAAATAGTCCAAATTGGTGAAGTGAAATGAAAAAAATATTTTTTTTCAAAACATTCTAAAACATAAATAACGGAAAAGTGGTGTGTGCATATGTATTCACCCCCTTTGCTATGAAGCCCCTAAATAAGATATGGTGCAACCAATTACCTTCAGAAGTCACATAATTAGTTAAATAAAGTCCACCTGTGTGCAATCTAAGTGTCACATGATCTGTCACATGATCTCAGTATATATACACCTGTTCTGAAAGGCCCCAGAGTCTGCAACACCACTAAGTAAGGAGCACCACCAAGCAAGCGGCACCATGAAGACCAAGGAGCTCTCCAAACAGGTCAGGGACAAAGTTGTGGAGAAGTACAGATCAGGGTTGGGTTATAAAAAAATATCCGAAACTTTGAACATCCCACGGAGCACCATTAAATCCATTATTAAAAAATGGAAAGAATATGGCACCACAACAAACCTGCCAAGAGAGGGCCGCCCACCAAAACTCACGGACCAGGCAAGGAGGGCATTAATCAGAGAGGCAACAAAGAGACCAAAGATAACCCTGAAGGAGCTGCAAAGCTCCACAGCGGAGATTGGAGTATCTGTCCATAGGACCACTTTAAGCCGTACATTCCACAGAGCTGGGCTTTACGGAAGAGTGGCCAGAAAAAAGCCATTGCTTAAAGAAAAAAATAAGCAAACACGTTTGGTGTTTGCCAAAAGGCATGTGGGAGACTCCCCAAACATATGGAAGAAGGTACTCTGGTCAGATGAGATTACAATTGAGCTTTTTGGCCATCAAGAAAAACACAATGTCTGGTGGAAGGCTAGGTACTGGTATACCCAGGAACCATGAGGCTGGTGGAGGGCTAGGTACTGGTATACCCAGGAACCATGAGGCTGGTGGAGGGTTTAGAGAAGAGGACTGAATGGATGGAGGATGATGGTGGTCATGAGGACAAGGGGAGTTGAACCTATTCAGTGTCTTCCAGAGCAAAGGATGCGTGATAAGAACGTTTACATAATTCATGCTTGATGTCAGTAGGAGATTTCTGTGAAAGTTCAAGTTACACACAACTGAGTCTGGCTCAACTCTACAGGAGGGCAGCTCTCTCTCTCAGCCCAGTCCAAGCTCTTCTCTGTCCTGGCACCTAAATGGTGGAACCAGCTTCCCCATTAAGCTAGGACAGCAGAGTCCCTGCCCATCTTCCAAAAGCCATATGTACAAATGTAATTACAATTTTGTAGACAGATTAGAATACATTGAGAGAACGGGTTCAGAATATATGGATCAATGAAAGAATGCCATCTATGCATCTACGTCTCCGTACAAACTGGTAGATTAAAAAATACTCAGATCTTGTAGATTATTTAGGCTAATTTTATGATTAGAAAAGTATGTATGAATCATTAAAAAAACAGGTTTGGAGAGCCTTTATGCACTAAACATATTGATGAATAAAAAATACAGTGGTTTAATTCATCCTGAAAGTTGTCATATTCAAGTTCAATATTGGAAGTTGTAAAAAGTGTACAATAGGGGTTGAACAATAGTCCTATAAATCTGCTATAATCCTCACTAATCATGGCACTATATGACAACCGTTCAGTCGTCGTGAACTGTGCGCCATGCTCCAGGTTTAAACTGCTAGGTGTGGTCTGAGTTCCATAATGATTCAAATAGGCTACATGTTCCAAATTATTGCACAACATCATCCTAATCTGATCCACTAATGCTAGCGACCCTCAGGAACAATTTACACGGACATGACAGAGGAAAGAAAGGTAAAAGGACACTAAAGTGACAGTTATAAATGTATGTGGGTATTACTGACGGTGGCTCCCGATAGTGGCAAATATTTAATATGATACAAATTGTCAAATAAAAAGGAGACAAGCCTGGGCATAGGCTATAATTAAAACATTCTAAAGCGCATACATCACCTCGGCAGGTTCAGAAGCCTATAGCTTGGGTGTCCAAATTTCATCCACGCAAATTATGAGGGCACACAATTAAAATTCTGAATAACGGTACAGCTATTTAGAGCCTATTTCACTGTGGAAAAGGGGCCGCAATACATGTCATGTTGATATGAGTTTGCTTCCAAATGGTTGGTTTCACATTTGTCTCCAGGGATCAAAAGGAAAATCATCAAAAACAATTGCTATGTGTATTTACAATCCCCTTCTCCAAACAGAATACTAATTTACCTAGCTCTTAACAATAGCGCTTATGCATTTATAAATTACAGTGCAACGAGAATGGTGTTATTTCTATCGCAAAAAGAAAGTAGATGCTTTTTTCACTTGGAACCGGCAGGTTCACTCGACCTTATTCATGGTTTCCTTGCGTGTAAAGGTGGTGGAATTATGAGGGAATTAAATAAAAGTCTGAATATGGTTTATCTGTAGACACACCTCCGCCACACCTTCATTTCTTAGATCGCCACCCCGAACGAATAGCAGGTGAATAGCATGCTATTCTCATGCTTAAATTCAAGGTTAGAATACACATAGAGAGAACAGTGGATAAAAGGGAATGACGTCCCATTTAACTCGGGTCGGAATCAGGATCATAGCGAGGATGGCTAAAATATAATCGATAGTGTGTTCCCCACCTAGAGGGAGTGAATTACTGCGTAACATAACCAACCCTAAACTGCAGCTGAACACAACAGGCCTGTACAGTCCCTATCAGTGTCTGTACTGATAACTTAAATCTGTCAAGTGAGAAAAACAGTGTTAAAAAATATATACTGATACTAGAGAGGGTGGTATTTAAATAAATTAAACTTGGGAGATTCAGCAAGAACCAATTGCCCTCCTCCAGCAAGGCAATGCATTGTTTCAATATTACAAACACACAGTGTTTAGAAATTGATATCTCATATTCATTAACAAAGAGCTCTTTGGGATTAAACTGGAAATAATATAGTGCGGGGAAGGGTTTATATCAAAGGGTTTATATTAGGACAAAGATGTGTGTCCTGCCTAAATCCTCTTTGGAATCAGAGCTATCAGTCCAAGGTGGAGCCGTCACCAGAGCGGTGAGTCGGATCAGAAGCCAAGCTCGCTACTCACACAACGCGTACACACGCAAACTCTCAACCACACATGTAATTAATCTGTCTCTCACACATTCACAAGTCCCGTTTATACCGGCTTCTAGCTTGCGTCCTTTTTCCTGATCTTTTCCACGTTCTGATTGTGCCCACATTTTTAGAGAGGTGTAGACAATCAAAACACACATCCTGATCTGATTGTGATCAGATCATCCTGTCCACCTCTGGAGGTTGTCAGACAGGCATGGTGTCTGGATATCTTACAAGTGTAGACAGATCTGGACAGAGACACCATTGAAATCATAATTATTCCGCTCTATAAAATCATTGACAGGTGGCACCATTGACTGATTACATCAATATATATCTTACAATAAATAAATATTATTTTGAAAGAATAGCTGTGAAATTATTTGCATAAAGGAAGGGACCAGGAAATCTGGTCACAATGCAGACACAGTGGACGGATAACAGACACATTTTAATACCATGTGTAGACACATTTCTGGAAATGTGGGCACAATCAGAATGTAGACCAGATCAGGACAAATTACCCATGTTAGCACCAGGTATAAACGGGGCTACAGTCTCTCTTACACACTGATGGATTTACACTGTGACACAAAGTTACATTCTCACCTTAATTATATAGCTTCTCCCACACTTACACACACCTAATCATTTATCACTAATACAGTCTTTCATTCATTAGCCAAATCAACAATCACCCACACACCCATTAACTCAATGAAAGCACTCAATTCCATAAACATTCAGGAAAATGCTTCCTGTGATTGAATCTCACCCTCTATACCTGTTGCTCTCCAGCCTGAATAACTGACCAGCCACCAAGACTACTGCATGACCTGAAGGAGGAAGACAGTGACTGTACCTCACAGTGTCCCGGGACAGTGGGGTGATCCCGTCTCCGTTAGGGGTAGCTGTCCACCCTTACTGGTCCTGGAGAGGGAATCCTGGTGTTGGTTTCCATGGGAACAGCAGGGGTTCCTGAGGTGGACTGTCAGTTGAGTGTCCCAAGGTCTGTGGTCCTGTTTCTCTCCACTGAGTCTGTATCTTTGAGTTTATTAATAATCCATATTTATCTCAAAATATGTATATATCTCTTTCTCCTCTCTTTGTGTAATCTGTCTTTCTCTGCCATTGGGTTTCTGTGTCTCAGTATTCTAGTGCTGTCTCTGTGTGTCTACAGCTGGGTTTGGACTCTCACTTCTGCTTTCCCCTAGACATTGACGGGGGCTTTCTATTGGCTCTGATCACAACATGAATCAAACCAAGCCTCACCTCTCTCCCTTACCCTCTCTATTTCTCTGCATACTTATCCTCCCTCCTCTTTCCACAAACATACTCACTGCTGACTCTCCAATCTTGGAATCCCCTGTCAGTCTCCCTCCCTCCCTCCCTCCCTCTCTCTCTCTCTCTCTCTCTCTCTCTCCCCCTCTTCCCTCTATCACTCCCTCTCGTACTCTGAAACCCAAAATCCCTCTTCCTCTCTCACTATCGCCCCCCTTCACGCAATTTCCTCCCTCGCTTTCCCTGTCTCTCCCTCACTTTCATACTAATCTCTCTCTCTTTCTCTTTCCACCTATCCACCTTTCTTCTCACCTGGCCATGAGGTGGGTTCAATGATTAGGTGTTCCAGTACCACTGAAAGCCTTCAACACACACCACCAAAGAAACAAAGACCAGTTCAAGGAAACTTTTATCTGACATCCATCTCAGCTCTCTCTGAGCCTCTCATAAGACCACAACAGATTGTTCCTTTTTCCCAAACATGGGTGTGTGAAATCACATAATCCATATATCATTCTTACGCCTGCCTACTCACATGTCGACAAGACAAGACCCTTTGAAATTCCCAATATTTTGGTTTAGGTATAAAGAAGAAAGACAATGATGTTTTTGGAACTGGAACAGACAAAAAACACTGGCTGTCATTCACCATCAAAAATCTGAAACGTCTACAAAAAAACTTCACTGTCTAAACAATTACCATTTGATCCTACCAGTAGAGAATAGCAGGAAACTATAGCAGCTGAATTCAAGCCTCAGTCTTTGTCCATACTATGACTAATATCTTAAGTCATGGTTTCTCATGGCTTAAATATACTGACTGGCCTGAACTGACAAGGTTATGGTTTGTGAAACTCTGTTAGTGATATTAGCAATTAAGCCTTAGGGCTCAATTGACTTCGTAGTGCTGAACACCCACGCTCTAGCGCGACATGGGCAATGTTCCCGCCGTTCGCGGAGACTGCATTCATGGTAAATGCTGAATATGTCGGCTCGATCGGAAACTACCTTTCAATTTCAATCGTGTTATAAAGCAGATCTTCAGCGCTACTGATTGAATCAAGCCCTTAGCGCGCTAGAAATGTAAAGCGAATTTCCGATTGAGCAGACATATGCAGCATTTACCGTGAATGCAGTCTCCGCTAACGCTGGAAAATTACCTTTAAATTTCAATCTCGCTGTAACGCTGAACTTCCTCCATACGGATTGAATACAGCCTTTACTTTTTGTGGTCGTGTTTTTTGTACAGTATAATAAATGTCTAAATTGCTGACAAATAACACATTTGAACAAAATCAACAAATAAAGCATTATTTTTTGCAAACATACAACTTATTCCCTTAAATTATAGTAAAATAAGCGAAGACCAGTTCTAATCTAATGGATACCCAAAACTACTGTAGGTTCCGCTCTGTTAAATCTACCACCATCTAGTGGCAACAACTAAACTGCAGATGACAGTCTGTGCCCTTAGCAGACAGAGCAGTGAGAATAATCATGAGCTATTACACTGACTCCAGATCAGTATGTCCATCTCCTCCTGCTAGTCATTACAAAATGTATTGATTCATTACCAGGACAGTTAAAACAGATAAAGGGCCAACTTTAATACATTTTTAAGTGTCTTTAAATATGGTATAAAAATAAATGCAGGAGAGAGTAACAAAGAAGTGCGTTCTACAGAAGACAGAAGACAGCAGCTTGAATGTGACTTTACAAGTGTAATGAAAACTGTGCTAATTACTGTAGTGCAATAAAAGCAATGCAAAATAAACATAATAATTTATATATATGTATACTGCACAACACTTCCCTTATCGTGACAAAAGTAGGTGTGATTACAGATCGTGTACTGTATAGTAATAATATTTTGATTAGATTTTACTGTTAAGCTGTCGTTTCCAATTAATTGTTTTCTGACATCATTAGCTCAGCTGGTGAGGAACACGTGTGTCCATCAGATATGGTGGAAGTAACTGGACACTGACTTTCTTTAAAGGCATTATCTGGTCTCAATGTCTGTCCTAAAATGCCTGTCTGTCCCAAAATGCCTGTCCTCGCCAATAGTAGATATAGATCAGGTAAAATAAATAACAAGCCTTCTCCTTGGACATGCAACATCTGATGTACTGTCCAGCTCATCGTCTGAGTGGAAAGCAGACAGTGATGATGTAGAAATGACGTAGAAATGGTCCTCCTCTATATCGCAGAGTGGCTGTATTTTAGCATGATGGCACAAGGTTGGTCAGCCTCTTGGATGTCAGGGATTTCCCCTGGGAGAAGGAGAGAAGAAGCGGGAAAGAGAAAGAGAGAGAATGAGATCAATTGTCTACTGTAATCTAAGATTCACTCCAACACCCTCCTGTAATATAGCATGTGGAAATGTCTGTGTGTTAGCAGAGTGAGCGAGAGTTCTACCTGGTCGGAATATGAAAGTGTGTAATGTCAGGATTATACTGACATCCTATGGGCATCAAGTGTACAACATGATTGCATCATACTGTGTTATTGTGTTATACTGTAAATCAGACATGCTGTAGCTTCCTTAATCTGAGTAAAGTTAATTCAGAGAATACAGTTTACATCAAGAGCTGTCAAAAGAGCTGTCTCCATGCAATATGCAAAAATGTGAGGGTGAACACAGAGAGGATGAAAGTCAGTGAGGTGAGCAACCACATGCAATTTACTGTAACAATCTGCACTGATTGTTGGCATTATTACCTGGATGTAAAATCCTTCAAAACAAGTTCTTACTTTTCTGTGGGGACAAGGAGAGAACACAGAATGAATGAGGGAGGACATTTTGGCAGGTTGGTTTCAGGGGCCAAAATGGGAGACATGCAGGAGAGGCCACATGCCTCTGTCCTGTAACAGCTCAGCTGACTCTTCTAAAGGCTGGATTCAATCTGTATCGCAGAAGTATCACGGAAGATCCACGTTATAGCTCGATTGAAATTTAAAGGCAATGTTCCCGCGTTCGCAGAGACTGCATTCACAGTAAACGCTGCATATGTCGGCTCAATCGGAAATTACCTTTACATTTTAACGTGGATCTTCTGCGATACGGATTAAATCCAGCCTTAACTCTCAGAGGAGTTAACAAATGCAACATTGTGTATCAAACTACACTAAAACATGATTTCACAAGAATAATAAACCAATATGTATAGGTTATATCCTGATATTATTGTGCTCCTATTGCATCTAGTTCTTGAAAGGGAATGATGAATGTCTAACTACCATTGTTGCATAAATATTTTTTTACTAATAAATGTCTGATTAATTAGTTAATCATGAAATATACAGTGCCTTTCAGAAAGTATTCACACCCATTTACTTTTTCCACATTTTGTTGTATTACAGCCTGCATTTAAAATGTATTAGATTGAGATTTTTTTGTCACTGGCCTACACACAATACCCCATAATGTCAAAGTGGAATTATGTTTGTCCACATTTTTACATATGAATTAAAAACGAAAAGCTGAAATGTCTTGAGTCAATAAGTATTCAACCCCTTTGCTATGGCAAGCCTAAATAAGTTCAGGAGTAAAAATGTCCTTAACAAGTCACATAATAAGTTGCATTGACTCACTCTATGTGCAATAATAGTGTTTAACAGGATTTTCGAATGACTACCTCATCTCTGTTCCCCACATATTCAATTATCTGTAAGCTCCCTCAGTCGAGCAGTGAATTTCGAATACATATTCAACCACAAAGACCAGAATTTGCCTCTCAGAGATGGGCACCTATTGGTAGATGACACCTATTGGCAGACATTGAATATCCCTTTGAGCATGGCAAAGTTATTAATGGTGTATCAATACACCCAGTCACTGTAAAGATATAGGCATCCTTCCTAACTCAGTTGCCGGAGAGAAAGGAAACTGCTCAGGGATTTTACCATGGTGAAAGGCCAATGGTGACTTTAAAACAGTTACAGAGTTTAATGGCTGTGATAGGAGAAAACTGAGGATGGATCAACATTGTAGTTACTCTACAATACTTACCTAATTGACAGAGTGAACAGAATAAAAATATTCCAAAACATGCATCCTGTTGCCAACAAGGCACTAAAATAATACTGCAAAAAATGTTTTGGGGAAAAATAAATACAACACATTACTGAGTAATATCTCCATATTTTCAAGCATAGTGGTGGCTGCATCATGTTATGGGTATGCTTGTAATCGTTAAGAACTAAGGAGTTTTTCAGGATAAAAAAGAAACGTAATGGAGCTTCTAAGCAAAGGCAAATTCCTAGAGGAAAACCTGGTTCAGTCTGCTTTCCACCAGACACTGGGAGATAAATTCACCTTTCAGCAGGACAATAACCTAAAACACAAGGCAAAATCTACACTGGAGTTGTTTACCAAGAAGACAGTGAATGTTCCTGAGTGGCCATATTACAATTTGGACTTAAATCTGCTTGGAAATCTATGGCAAGACTTGCAAAAGGTTGTCTAGCAATGATCAACAACCAATTTGACAGAGCTTGAAAAGAATAATGGGGAAATATTGTACAATCCATGTGTGCAAAGCTCTTAGAGACTCACAGCTGTAATCGTTGCCAAAGGTGATTCTAACATGTGTTGACTCAGGGGTGTGAATACTTATGTAAATTAGATATTTCTGTATTTCATCTTCAATAACTTTGCAAAAAGGTCTAAAAACATTTTTTCACTTTGTCACTATGCGGTATTGTGTGTACATGGGTGAGAAAAAAACAACAATTTAATGCATTTTGAATTCAGGCTGTAACACAACAAAATGTGGAATAAGTCAAGGGGTATGAATACTTTCTGAAGGCACTGTATAGGTTAATTTCTGAAATGAAACACAATAATTCCGTTAACAAAACTCTTAGAAAAGCTTACTTGGTGCTATAATTGCAACATAAAAGTCCAAAGGGAAGGAAAGGAGAGGCACAGTACATGTTGACAAGGCCCTGAAAAAGATGGTCATGAAACGTCACCATGCCCGTGTCCATGACAGGTCCCAGAGGTGAGGGAGGGAAGGAGAGAGTGATAAAGCAGTGGACATGCTTTATCTGAACAGGCCCGTTGGTCGACCAGAAAAACCCATGTCCTCTTACCACATTTCGAGTGAATTTCTCAAATGAAGTTCTGCGGTCCTGAATGTCTCCATACTTAACCAAAAAAAGAAGAAAAAGAAACAAAAAGAAAAGAAACAAAAAGAAAGACAGAAAAGAAAGACAGAGCTGAAACCAAAAAGTGAAGGAATGGGAAACAAACTAAACTGTGAGGAGAGGCCCTTTGAAAAATAAAAGCGAAAATAAGGATATGCTGATGTGATTACGATGAGAATTATACAGTGATATGTGACATAACACAAAACATAAGCCAAATCATAGAAAATCATGAAGGAACTATCATTTTAATTATAAACTGGGTGGTTCGAGCCCTGAATGCTGATTGGCTGAAAGCTGTGGTATATCAGACCTTATAAACTGGGTGGTTCGAGCCCTGAATGCTGATTGGCTGACAGCCGTGGTATATCAGACCGTATACCACAGGTAAGACAAAACATGTACTTTTACTGCTCTAATTACGCTGGTAACCAGTTTATAATAGCAATAAGGCACCTCGGGAGTTTGTGGTATATGGCCAATATACAACGGCTAAGGGCTGTATCCAGGCACTCCGCGTTGCGTCGTGAATTAGAACAGCCCTTAGCCGTGGTATATTGGCCATATCCCACACCCCCTCAGGCCTTATTGCTTAATTACCCCATTATCACAACCATCGTTACAGGTCAGACACCTTATGAGGCATTTTCTTTACATGTGAAAATGCTGCTACAGTAGCTATTCCTTCACTGCTGGAGGCACCAATGTCATTGATCCAGGCCTGAGGCAGGGCAGGTCAGAGAACAGCAGTGCACACAGCCATGTTTATTCTTTGAAGACCTTACCTTTTTCTTGGCCTGTAGCAGCTCCTGGTAGGCACTGGAACGGATGAAGCGGCTGTAGGAGTCACTCTTCATCAGCTTGAAGATGTGATCCTGTCAACCACAAGGAAATGGTTCAACCACAGTGATGGTCATGTTGTAACAACCCTTGATACAATTCAACGTCCCAGAATATTTTCTGTTGAGACAAATGTACTGAACAGTACAGTAGCTTATCCAGCTGATTTCCCAAACACACTACAAGCATAAGTCAGTAACCTGCCTATAATTACCCTACTGTTCACTAACATATTACTACAGTGTTACCTGTGCGTCCTCAAAGGCGTAGCGTCCAGGGTCCTTGACGTTCTGGGTGGTCTTGTCATAGCTCTTAGAGTCAACGTTGATGGCACTGGGAGCTCCAGAGGCCAGGAACTCCTGCCAGATCTCCTGAACCCGGGTCGGGACCTCCCGGATGGGCCTTTTCTTTACCTCCTGGACCGCTAGCCAGAACCTGCAGGACACAACACGGGGGGCGGGGAATAACACAGTTGTATTTTGCATCATCATCACCATGATGTGGCCGGTGACACTTTGCTTCTTGAAAGTCCAATATCTTGAAAAATTGACTGCTGACATGCAAAACATTTTGGGACTGTATCAACGCTGGACTAATTAAAAAAATACCAAAAGATAATCTTTATAGTTAAAGGGAAAATCCACTCAAAATCTATCCCTTGAACCCCTTTATTTTTGTCTTTCTCTATCACTCTTCAGGCTAATATAGGACTAGCAACATATTATATGTGTGCATGCTTGTGCCTGCTGTGCATGTTTTGTCCAGGATAAGCCGTTTTCCCAACATGGTTTCTTATAGGAATTTCTGGATAAGTATTGCAGAGATTTTGTCTGAAAATATTTGTCTGAAATATAAATTCAGTGCTCAGTTATGTCCTTTAATGATGATAACATCACATATCTAATTATAGGGTAATTAATGTGACCAATTAGGTGTTAAATTCCACCTCTGACTCTCACTCAGTTAGATAATAACACATTACCAGATTGACCTGAAGATTAGCTCTGGGCAAAACAGTTCAGACAAGTACCAGAAGAGGAAGTACAGGAAACATGAATGAAGTGCAAGGATAGGTTATGATTGTGTGTGAGAGAAAGGAAGTGAGAGTGTGTGCATGTGGGGGTGTACGTGCGTGCATGTGTGTTACGTGTGTGTGTATGTACTGTATCCCTACCTCAGGTTCTCTGAGCTGAACTCAGACTCCAGGAACTTGAGGAACTGCTCCCTCCCCACCTGATCCTTGAGAACCTCGTTGATGCCGAAAGCCCACCTCTTCACCCTCTGCTGACCTGGCTCCTTACTAGGAAGAGACACACGCAGTCAGACACCACAGTGTATAGAGGGAAAATCTCAGTGAACAGTTAACAGTGCACACTACACAGCTACAAATAATTTTATTACTACCTGACATCCCTCAGGAGATGGTCTGATCCAGAGCAACTCACAAATAATTTACTGGTACCACTCACTACTTGTACCAGTGTAAAACAACACAGAATAACCACAGAGATGTAATAATAATTTTTAAAAAGACAGTCCAAGAAGACACACCTGGCCTCCAGCTCCCACACTGCGGTGTCGTCTGAGATCCAGGGGTTGGAGGGGTCGGTCGGCGTGATGAAGGGGTCATATTCCACATACTGCTCTGTATAGGCCAACAAACTGGAGAGAAAGACTTACTATTCAGTTCAGGCAGGTAGAGTGGACAGAAAATGTGACAATGTATTGTGCGGCCTGGGGAACTCAGGATATGACTAACAACAGTGCTACACAGTATTTGACCTTCGAAGATAGCAGGAAGTGATGCAGTATCTTTGTTTTAACACAATAGTGAGTAACCCAGGCAGCTGAGGATGGTAATCTCTGTTCAATGTTACGTACTCTCTGTTCAGTGTTACATAACAGCACAATAAATTACAATTAGCCTTAGTGCTGATGATACACAGCAGGTATTGTTCAGGCTAAACACTTTTCAAGGTTGTCTAAGCTCTTAATTACTGGCTACATTAAGTTTTAGAGAGTTCATGAAGGGATCAGTGGGGGGAAAATGAAGAGATGGAGAACTTCGCTCACCTCTCGGCCACTTTGGACATTTTCAGTCGATGTCTGTCTAATTGCCCTCCCCAATAATTGATCTGGAACAACAAGGGGAAACAGTATTTTGTGAATTTCTGGAAACTGGTCAAACTAATAAGACAGTAACAGTGTTGCCATCTTAAGTGTACATTTGGAAAGAACAGTTTCCTTCCAATCATACATTTTGCAATGCAAGAGAAGCTACCCAGGCAGTCCAGCAACCTCTACATTACCTGGTCCTGCAGCTGCTCCTCTGTGGCTGGCTTGGCCTCTTGGGCGGGGGTGTGAGTGGGGCTGTGGGTTCGCACATCATTCTGAGGCCCATATACAGACTGAGGCAGAGACAATCAAACAGAAACCACCCAAAGTCAATTTTATTTTTTATTTTTTAACAGTGTTTCAGCTAACCTGTTATTCAGAATTAATGGATTTATAGGAAGAGTTACCTTTCTTGTCTTTTGGGGATTTTTCATTCTGGAGGACTTCTTTATGTCAACTTCTGTTGTGTTTACACATCCGGGCTGGAGAGCAACAGAAATTAACAGAATAAAAGCATGCCCTTCAGGGAGCATTCTCTGCTTCTTCCTATTGATTCACTAGCAGCTCAGGTAGGACTGTTTAGTGAACCCAGAAATCCAGCTTTTTCTATTGCACTTTGCTACAAGCTCAGTCAAACATGATCTAGCTAAATACTAATGTAAAACATATTGTCTGAATGTCCCGCATGATTAAACAAGGAGCACAATTAAGGTATCCTCCAGGACCACGGTGGCTAATTGGTTTGACGAGGCTGCTGTGAAATCAGAAAGGAACCTGATTATAATGTCCCAAGCATGCATGAATTGATCCTGTTATTTTACAATTAAGCTCATGGAGCTGGATTTTTCCAAGGAAGTGGATCCATTCCCTAGTGGAAGCTATTACTAAGAAGGAAGTGTGTCTGAATGGATGATGAGGTCATACAGACCACAGGAGAGCTGCAGGTGAATACATTATTTTTGAGGAATTGACGGTACAATAATAACATTTTGACATTATGGCAGACAAAGAAGAAAGAAGAAAGCGCTGCCTTTACCAAGCAAAAAAAAATTGACGATTGTCCCTCACATTATTCACATTGAACAGAGAAATAAATTGCTTTGTAGACTGAAGAAAGTTCTATAACATTTTACAAAAAACATCTAATAAAAAAATCCATGCCACATATTTTTTATTTCTAAGATAAGATCAATGTAGGTTTTTGACAATGGATATTTCTAAGCATGTATGCATGACAATACACAACAATATTCCACAAACAGAAATACTAAGTTAGGGGCTCGATTCAATCTGTATCGCGGAAGTTCAGCGCTATAGCGCGATTTAAATTTAAAGGCAATGTTCCGCGTTCGTGGAGACTGCATTCACAGTAAATGCTGCATATGTCCGCTCAATTGGAAATTACCTTTACATTTCAATTGCACTATTGCGCTGGAGTTAAGCGATACAGATTGAATGGATCCCTTAGCCTCCAGTTAGCTGTATGCTCCAGTGGAACATTTGCACTAACACTGTAGCTAGGTGTTATGTTATGGAGATACTGTAAGTCTTGTAGCATGAGATTTTAAAAGCACAATAAACTCACCACTGGTCTGTGCACATCCCAAAATGCTCTTTCTTGACTATCGAGAATTTTCCTCTCAATCTTATCTCTTTTCTTGTCAACTCTGAGGAGATAGGATACACAGTACAAGCAATTACTTTTTAGGTTTTTTCACAAAACCATATTTTGTGTAATTATTAATGTTTTTTCTTTGCCACTTCCCCTGCCTAAAATGTGGTGTTATTAGGAAACTGCTGAGAAGTGGTAGTTAGAGATGATGGCATATCCGTTATAATGAGGAGTGTGGTGATCAACTTAACACTCATCAACACATAGTAGATTTGTTTCTTTTGGAAACTTACTTTGCTTGTGCTTCTGCTTGCATAAATATGAACTCCCATTTTCTGGCAAATGCTCTCTGTAACCTCGCTAAGCTCTCCTGAAACAACAATAAACATAAAAAATACAGACAGTAAATCTAGCCAAACAATTATTTGTCTTATTTCATGACATGATATAATAACACAATAATAGCAACAGAACAAAAGGTTTTCACTGTGAAGATACAGGCTGATATCAGTGTTAAGGATGCTAGTGCTAACATACTAAAGAGATGAAGGTACAGGCTGATATCAATGTTAAGGATGCTAGTGCTAACATACTAAAGATACAGGCTGATATAAATGTTAAGGATGCTAGTGCTAACATACTAAAGATACAGGCTGATATAAATGTTAAGGATGCTAGTGCTAACATACTAAAGATACAGGCTGATATAAATGTTAAGGATGCTAGTGCTAACATACTAAAGAGATGAAGCTACAGGCTGATATCAGTGTTAAGGATGCTAGTGCTAACATGCTAAAGAGATGAAGCTACAGGCTGATATCAATGTTAAGGATGCTAGTGCTAACATACTAAAGATACAGGCTGATATAAATGTTAAGGATGCTAGTGCTAACATACTAAAGATACAGGCTGATAAAAATGTTTTGGATGCTAGTGCTAACATACTAAAGACACAGGCTGATATCAGTGTTAAGGATGCTAGTGCTAACATACTAAAGATACAGGCTGATATAAATGTTAAGGATGCTAGTGCTAACATACTAAAGATACAGGCTGATATAAATGTTAAGGATGCTAGTGCTAACATACTAAAGATACAGGCTGATATAAATGTTAAGGATGCTAGTGCTAACATACTAAAGAGATGAAGATACAGGCTGATATCAGTGTTAAGGATGCTAGTGCTAACATACTAAAGATACAGGCTGATATAAATGTTAAGGATGCTAGTGCTAACATACTAAAGATACAGGCTGATATAAATGTTAAGGATGCTAGTGCTAACATACTAAAGATACAGGCTGATATAAATGTTAAGGATGCTAGTGCTAACATACTAAAGACACAGGCTGATATCAGTGTTAAGGATGCTAGTGCTAACATACTAAAGACACAGGCTGATATCAGTGTTAAGGATGCTAGTGCTAACATACTAAAGATACAGGCTGATATAAATGTTAAGGATGCTAGTGCTAACATACTAAAGAGATGAAGCTACAGGCTGATATCAGTGTTAAGGATGCTAGTGCTAACATACTAAAGAGATGAAGCTACAGGCTGATATCAATGTTAAGGATGCTAGTGCTAACATACTAAAGATACAGGCTGATATAAATGTTAAGGATGCTAGTGCTAACATACTAAAGATACAGGCTGATAAAAATGTTTTGGATGCTAGTGCTAACATACTAAAGACACAGGCTGATATCAGTGTTAAGGATGCTAGTGCTAACATACTAAAGATACAGGCTGATATAAATGTTAAGGATGCTAGTGCTAACATACTAAAGATACAGGCTGATATAAATGTTAAGGATGCTAGTGCTAACATACTAAAGAGATGAAGATACAGGCTGATATCAGTGTTAAGGATGCTAGTGCTAACATACTAAAGATACAGGCTGATATAAATGTTAAGGATGCTAGTGCTAACATACTAAAGATACAGGCTGATATAAATGTTAAGGATGCTAGTGCTAACATACTAAAGACACAGGCTGATATCAGTGTTAAGGATGCTAGTGCTAACATACTAAAGATACAGGCTGATATAAATGTTAAGGATGCTAGTGCTAACATACTAAAGAGATGAAGCTACAGGCTGATATCAGTGTTAAGGATGCTAGTGCTAACATACTAAAGAGATGAAGATACAGGCTGATATCAGTGTTAAGGATGCTAGTGCTAACATACTAAAGCGATGAAGATACAGGCTGATATCAGTGTTAAGGATGCTAGTGCTAACATACTAAAGAGATGAAGATACAGGCTGATATCAGTGTTAAGGATGCTAGTGCTAGCATACTAAAGAGATGGATGTAGGCTGATATCAATGTTAAGGATGCTAGTGCTAACATACTAAAGAGACAATGACAATGAACAGAGAAGACCTCCTACCGCCTCGTAGTCTGCCAGCTCCAGACGAGCTTTGTTTTGCATTGTTCTTTTGCAGAGGTAAACAGCTGCGGCACAGAACACAGAGGAAGAACAAACCAATCAGAAAACAGAGAAAGCTACTATTGACCAGATGCTGTTTTACAGATAACATTTTTACTTTGCCAAACCCTTTCTGCATCAGCTGCAGACTAGGCCACAACATTAATAAGTCATTCCATAACCAGAGTATCATGTGGCTTGCAAAATGGTCTTAACAACATCCATTGCAGCTTTGGGGATGCAAACGGCTATCTATATGGCTGGAGGGGTTGTTGCAACTTATATACAAAATAAGACATACAAATACTTATATTCACTTATTGAATTGAACAAACCACCATTGATGGTTCTGTTTTCTTCTGCAAAGCCATTTGGGTTACAATGTCCTGCATGCCAGATGCTACACAAATAAAATTGATTTTGATATTAACATCCTGATGGTTACATTCAATGCACGGTACAGCCTTCCATTATGTATTACTATTCACTACTGCTAAGTGAATACTTACCATAGTCTGTATTCTCTGGTTCCCAGCAGTTTGATGGCCAGAAGTAGGGGGTCTGGGGAGAATGATTGTGAGGAGAAAATAGTGAGGGACAAGCCAGCTAAAGAACTGAGACACATTGATCTAAGAACTGATCTGAGAACTGAAACACCTTGATCTAAGAACTGATCTGAGAATTGAGACACCTTGATCTAAGAACTGATCTGAGAACTGAGACACCTTGATCTAAGAACTGATCTAAGAACTGAGACACCTGGCTAAAATCCCTGTTATTTCTCTAGAGCGAGGCACTTTAGTTGCCTCAGTAAAACATCCAGCAATATAAATGGATTAGGTATAAAGCACATAGGTCCCTGTGGATAAGCATTCAACAACGACATATGAATCCTAGTCCTCCCTGTGTGGTCTGATATCAACCTGGCGCAGACAATCACGGACTACAAAAGGAAAACCAGCCACGTCGCTTCCAGACAAGCTAAACACGTTCTTCGCCCGCTTTGAGGATAACACAGTGCCACTGACGAGGCCCACTACCAAGGACTGTGGCCTCTCCTACTCCGTGGCCGACGTGATTAGGACATTTAAGCATGTTAACCCCTTCAAGGCTGCCGGCCCAGACGGCATCCCTAGCCGCATCCTCAGAGCATGCGCAGACCAGCTGGCTGGTGTGTTTATGGACATATTCAATCTCTCCCTTTCCCAGTCTGCTGTTCCCACATGCTTCAAGATGGCCACCATTGTTCCTGTACACAAGAAAGCAAAGGTAACTGAACTAAATGACTAACGTCCTGTAGCACTCACCTCTGTCATCATGAAGTGCTTTGAGAGACTAGTCAAGGATCATATCACCTCTACCTTACCTGTCACCCTAGACCCACTTCAATTTGCTTACCGCCCCAATAGATCCACAGACGATGCAATCGCCATCACACTGCACACTGCCCAATCCCATCTGGACAAGAGGAATACCTATGTAAGAATGCTGTTAATTGACTATATCTCAGCATTCAACACCATAGTACCCTCCAAGCTCATCATTAAGCTCGAGGCCCTGGGTCTGAACCCCGCCCTCTGCAACTGGGTCCTGGACTTCCTGACGGGCCGCCCCCAGGTGGTGAAGGTAGGAAACAACATCTCCACTTCGCTGATCCTCAACACTGGGGCCCCACAAGGGTGTGTGCTCAGCCCCCTCCTGTACTCCCAGTTCACCCATGACTGCGTGGCCAAGCACGCTTCCAACTCAATCATCAAGTTTGCAGACGACACAACAGTAGTAGGCTTAATTACCAACAATGACGAGACCACCTACAGGGAGGAGGTGAGGGCTCTGGGAGTGTGGTGCCAGGAAAATAACATCTCACTCAACGTCAACAAAACAAAGGAGATGATCGTGGACTTCAGGAAACAGCAGAGGGTGCACCCCCCTATCCACATCGACGGGACTGCAGTGGAGAAGGGGGAAAGCTTCAAGTTCCTTGGCGTACACATTACCGACAAACTGAAATGGTCCACCCACGCAGACAGTGTGGTGAAGAAGGCGCAACAGAGCCTCTTCAACCTCAGGAGGCTGAAGAAATGTGGCTTGGCACCTAAAACCCTCACAAACTTTTACAGATGCACAATTGAGAGCATCCTGTCGGGCTGTATCGCCACCTGGTACGGCAACTGCACCGCCCGCAACCGCAGGGCTCTCCAGAGGGTGGTGCGGTCTGCCGAACGCATTATACCCGCCCTCCAAGACACATACAGCACCCGATGTCACAGGAAGGCCAAAAAGATAATCAAGGACATCAACCACCCGAGCCAATGTCTGTTCACCCCGCTATCATTCAGAAGGCGAGGTCAGTACAGGTGCATCAAAGCTGGGACCGTGAGAATGAAAAACAGCTTCTATCTCAAGGCCATCAGTGTTAAATAGCCATCACTAGCACATTAGAGGCTGCTACTGCCTATTGAAATCACTGGCCACTTTAAGAAATGGAACACTAGTCACTTTAATAATGTTTACAGTCACTTTAATAATGTTTACATATCTTGCACTACTCATCTCATATGTATATACTGCATTCTGTTCTATAATATTCTACTGTATCTTAGTCCATGCCGCTCTGTCATTGCTTGTCCATATATGTATATTTTCTTAAATTCCATTCCTTACTAGTTTTGTGTGTATTAGGTATATGTTGTGAAATTGTTAGATATTACTTGTTAGATATTACTGCACTGTTGGAGCTAGAAGCACAAGCATTTCGCTACACCCGCTATAACATCTGCTAAACATGTGTATGTGACAAATACAATTTTATTTTATTTTATTTGATATGGATTGGATCAGCTATGGTTGACAGTATGAGTACATTATAGTACAAATAAGAGCCATGCAGCCTATGAATTCACTGTACCTGAAACCTGTAGAAAGTGCCATCGTCTTTGAGTGTGAGTACGTGGTCTGATATGGGGAAGAAGTAGCCATGGGCAGCCATCAGGGTCCCCAGGTGAAGGGCCTCCACTGGACAACACAAATAAAATCATATCATTTTCCACCACAGCACCCCTAATATTCCCATTGTCCAGCACCCCTAATATTCCCATTGTCCCCTTTGACACACCTCACTTTCCCCCTTCACCGGGCTATGGTATATGAGGTCAGTATAGTACCGTTGGGGATGGCCCCAAAGGTAATGTTTACCTCATATGCCATACCCCTGTCACCCCTCCTAACGTAAAATGAAACACATTCTATTTTTATCACTATTTCCACCTTGTCTCTCTGTATCTAGAATGTATATAAGACTCAGCTATGCATCAATAAATGATCACTCATTCATGTTTAAAGACATGTTTACTGATAAATGTGAGTGCCCTTTCAGTGAATTTGTGTGTTTGCATGTGGATGTGTGTGTGTTTATGCATTGTGTGCTTGTGTGAAATTGTTAGTCTGAGTGACGTGACCTAAAGTGGCGGCATCTACTAGGTTACAGTATATACAGTGTCTTCGGAAAGTGTTCTGACCCCTTGACTTTTTCCACATTTTGTTACGTTACAGCCTTATTCTAAAATGGATTAAAAAAATTAAAAAAATGCAATCTACACACAATACCCCATAATGACAAAGTGAAAACTGGTTTTTCGATTGTTTTGCACATTTATACAAAATAAAAAAACAGAAATACCTTATTTACATAAGTATTCAGACCTGCTATGAGACTCAAAATTGAGCTCGGGTACATCCTGTTTCCATTGATCATCCTTGAGATGTTTCTACAACTTGATTGGAGTCCACCTGTGGTAAATTCAATTGATTGGACATGATTTGGAAAGGCACACACCTGTCTATATAAGGTCCCACAGTTGACAGTGCATGTCAGAGCAAAAACCAAGCCATGAGGTCGAAGGAATTGTCCGAGACAGGATTGTGTCGAGGCAGAGATCTGGGTAAGGACACCAAAAAAATTCTGCAGCATTGAAGGTCCCCAAGAACACAGTGGCCTCCATCATTCTTAAATGGAAGAAGTTTGGAAACACCAAGACTCTTCCTAGAGCTGGCCGCCTGGCAAAACCGAGTAATCGGGGGAGAAGGGCCTTGGTCAGGGTGGTGACCAAGAACCCGATAGTCACTGTGAAGGAGCTCCAGAGTTCCTCTGTGGAGATGGGAGATTCTTCCAGAAGGACAACCATCTCTGCAGCACTCCACCAATCAGTCCTTTATGGTAGAGTGGCCAGATGGAAGCCACTCCTCAGTAAAAGGCACATGACGGCCCGCTTGGAGTTTGCCAAAAGGCACCTAAAGACTCTCAGACTCTCAGAAAAAGAACATTCTCTGGTCTGATGATACCAAGATTGAACTTGTTGGCCTGAATGCCTAGCATCATGTCTGGAGGAAACCTGGTACCATCCCTACGGTGAAGCATGGTGGTGGCAGCATCATGCTGTGGGGATGTTTGTCAGTGGCAGGGACTGGGAGACTAGTCAGGATCGAGGGGAAATGAACGGTGAAAAGTACAGGGAGATCCTTGATGAAAACCTGCTACAGAGCGCTCAGGACCTCAGACTGGGCGAAGGTTCACCTTCCAACATGACAATGACCCTAAGCACACAGCCAAGACAACGTAGGAGTGGCTTCAGGACAAATCTCTGCGTGTCCTTGAGTGGCCCAGCCAGAGCCCGGACTTGAACCCGATCTAACATCTCTGGAGAGACCTAGAAATAGCTGTGCAGCGACGCTCTTCATCCAACCTGAGAGAGCTTGAGAGGATCTGCAGAGAAGAATGGGAGAAACTCCCCAAATACAGGTGTGCCATGCTTGTAGCTTCATTCCCAAGAAGACTCAAGGCTATAATCGCTGCCAAAGGTGCTTCAACAAAATACTGAGTAAACTATCAGAATAATTATGTAAATGTTATATTTCAACTTATTTTTGCAAACATTTATAAAAACCTGTTTTTGCTTTGCCATTATGGAGTATTGTGTGAAGATTGAAGGGGGAAAAAACAATTTAATCAATTTTAAAATAAGGCTGTAACATAACAAAATGTGGAAAAAGTCAAGGGATCTGAATACTTTCCGAATGCATTCGGAAGGTATTCAGATCCCTTGACTTTTTCCATATTTTGTTATGTCATAAAAATAAATTGCTCTAGAAAAGTCTGCTACTGTATGCACTGAGGTTTTAGAGAAACAAAGTTTTCCACTATGTTACAATGATTCTAATTAGCCATTGACATGTTAAAATGATACAATATGGAAGGAACTTCTCAAGAATAAAGGTGGTATATCAAGACCTTGGGACTATAAGGTTTTTGTCAAAAATCTGTTAGTCACATATAATTGATATTTAGATGGTTCTTCATATGTCTATGAAGTAAATATTTTATGAAAAAAAAATTAAACGACAAAGTTCTATTTGCATTAACCCATTTGAACTTGGCGCTATAAGGTTCTATCTGCAATCCAATCACAAGCCTGAACAAATACAGATGGACCAATCAGAACACGTCTTTGCTATTTCCCTCTAAGTATGGTCTAGGCTAGTCTAGCCAGCGATAACGGCACGCAAGCAAAAAAAAAACAACACTGTCAGAAATCTTAAAGTAAATGATGTTGTCACATCGTTGTTCAGCGATGACAGTAATACATTTCTTAATGTACTTGATGATGTGTTCTGACTCTATCTTGGTAAAATTGTGTTATTCTATCATTTATGTATTCAAATAGAGCTACAGTTTTCTTAAAAACTGAACATGTCTAATTCAGAAATGTCAGACAGAACCTTATGGCTGAACCCAGATTGACATTTCAGAGCCATAAGGTTCTATCTACGATTGCACCCACCTATAAAATCTGATTTACAAATGTTTCAGGATTTTGATACTCTGCACTTTAGGTACCTTTAAGGTTAGGACCTTAATGGGTTATAAAATAAGAATTCACTACAGAACAATTCTGAGATCTGGGATGTGAAAACATTGATTCTCAATATCTCAGGACTATGCTTTGCACAGATATAACCTTATAGTCCCAAGGTCTCGATACGTCACATAACTGTGAATGAGTCACTGTTTCACATGTCTAGTGTCACATAATAGGATACATAATAGGACACTAATAATCATGCATTACCTTGATCTTCAATATTCAGGTTTTTGATCATCCACTGTACAATGTCAGAACCTGGAATGTAAAACCACATACATAAATACACCCAAAGCATACTGTACAGCACCTTTAGCACAGTGATGTAAACTGTGGACATTAAAGGGGAAATATGGGATTGCTACACGATCGTTGTAAGAGGCAGACCAAGGCGCAGCGTGATAGGCGTACATCTTTTAATGAGTACTTGACACCAACAACAAAACGATACGTGAAGTCTAAAGGTTCACCAACACAAACCTATACAGAACAAGGTCCCACAATCAACTGTGCAAAACAGGCTGCCTAAGTATGGTTCCCAATCAGAGACAACGAGCAACAGCTGCCTCTGATCGGGAACCACCCTGGCCAACATAGATCTAAACGATCTAGACAGAAAACAAGGAACAACTAAACATAGGAACTAACACCCTGGCTCAACATGAAAGAGTCCCCAGAGCCAGGGCGTGACAGTACCCCCCCCCAAAGGCGCGGACTGCGACCGCACCAACCAAACACCACAGGGGAGGGGCCGGGTGGGCATTCCGCCTCGGAGGCGGATCCGGCTCCGGGCGTGACCATCACTCTCTCTCTCGCCCTCGTGGTCTGGCCCTGCTGGCCGAAGCTGGACTGAACACCGGTGGAGCGGATTGCTCTGGCTCCGGCGTGGAGCAGCTGACCGGTGCCGGACCAGGCACAGGTGGAACAGGCAGGTACCGTGCCGGACTGACGACGCGCACCACTGGCTTGGTGCGGGGAGCGGGAACGGGCCGGACCGGGCTGACGACGCGCTCCACTGGCTTGGTGCGGGGAGCAGGAACGGGCCGGACCGGGCTGACGACGCGCACCACTGGCTTGGTGCGGGGAGCAGGAACAGGCCGAACCGGGCTGACGACGCGCACCACTGGCTTGGTGCGGGGAGCAGGAACAGGCCGGACCGGGCTGGCGACGCGCACCACTGGCTTGGTGCGGGGAGCAGGAACAGGCCGGACCGGGCTGGCGACGCGCACCACAGGCTTGGTGCGAGGGACAGGAACAGGCCGGGCCGGACTGGCGATGCGCACCACAGGCTTGGTGCGGGGAGTAGGAACAGGCCGGACCGGGCTGGCGACGCGCACCACAGGCTTGGTGCGAGGGACAGGAACATGCCGGACCGGGCTGGTGACGCGCACCACAGGCTTGGTGCGAGGGACAGGAACAGGCCGGGCCGGACTGGCGATGCGCACCACAGGCTTGGTGCGGGGAGCAGGAACAGGCCGGACCGGGCTGGCGACGCGCACCACAGGCTTGGTGCGAGGGACAGGAACAGGCCGGGCCGGACTGGCGACGCGCACCACAGGCTTGGTGCGGGGAGCAGGAACAGGCCGGACCGGGCTGGCGACGCGCACCACAGGCTTGGTGCGAGGGACAGGAACAGGCCGGGCCGGACTGGCGACGCGCACCACAGGCTTGGTGCGAGGGACAGGAACAGGCCGGACCGGGCTGGCGACGCGCACCACAGGCTTGGTGCGGGGAGCAGGAACAGGCCGGACCGGGCTGGCGACACGCACCACAGGCTTGGTGCGGGGAGCAGGAACAGGCCGGACCGGGCTGGCGACGCGCACCACAGGCTTGGTGCGAGGGACAGGAACAGGCCGGACCGTACTGGGAACACACACCACTGGCCTTGTGCGGGGATCAGGAACGGGCCGGACCGGACTGGTAACACACCCCAGTACCTCTCGCCGTGCCTCTACACTCTCCTTCCCCCTCATGACCAATGGCCCCCGTAACCTGGTGGCCTCCTCTCCTAGTCCGCAACTCGCCCTGTAGCTGCCTCCAGCAGCCCCGTCGTCCATGCCGTGTGCCCCCCCCCCCCCCCCCCCCCCCAAACATTTCTTGGGGTTGCCTCTCGCCTGTCCGACGACAGCCCGGTTGGCGCCGCTTCTCCTCTCCTGCCTGGGCATCCTCCCTCATCGCCCTCCGGTAGCGGACGGCCTCCTCCTCTGTGATTCTCCCCCAACCGAGGAGGACATCTACCAGAGTAACCTCCTGTTCCATACCCGGCGTTTGCTCCGGAACACGCTGCTTGGTCCTATTTTGGTGGGATCTTCTGTCACGATCGTTGTAAGAGACAGACCAAGGCGCAGCGTGATAGGCGTACATCTTTTAATGAGTACTTGACACCAACAACAAAACGATACGTGAAGTCTAAAGGTTCACCAACACAAACCTATACAGAACAAGATCCCACAATCAACTGTGCAAAACAGTATGGTTCCCAATCAGAGACAACGAGCAACAGCTGCCTCTGATCGGGAACCACCCTGGCCAACATAGATCTAAACGATCTATACAGAAAACAAGGAACAACTAAACATAGGTACTAACACCCTGGCTCAACATTAAAGAGTCCCCAGAGCCAGGGCGTGACAACATCCATTTGTGGACTTTTAGATCAATGATATATACCCACTGATTCTTGAAGAATATAACGTATAAATGCCTCATAAGCTTAGTTCAACTGTCGTACCACATCAGAACCCAGAATATAAGCTTGTTTTACTCCATTGTTTGTAAACATTGTTATTTTAAATAAACATTGTATACTCTCACAACATAGTTACAATTTTAATTTGGATAGCATTGACGGTCAGTCAAAGCTGTGTCTATGAATTTGAGAGTGGTTACATTTCTCCAGTCCCATCCCTCATTTGTTATTGTTTGAACTCCAGATTTCCCCTTTAATACACCAGAATCGGCTTAATTACATGCAAATTCCTAGCATGTGGGTGGGTAATTGGCAGTCCAACACGCCATGCTTTTATTATAGGCATTAGAAACCACCTACCTCTGTTCCCATTCATACAAATTACACCCCTGATAGTGGCTGGAACAGTCATGGCAGAACCTGTCTAACTAATGCTAAGGAGGACACCATGCCTAGTACATATCAAAGCCATATACTTAGAATGGATGTAAAGCCATCATTACTGCACTTGAATAAAAATGATAGTAATGTAAATCATCTTAACAGCCCACAATATTGAGTGTAACATCTGACATCAAGTAATCTTCACACCCCAGCTCAACCACTGGTGTTCACATGGCCTAGATAGAAAAGTTATTATCACTGTGTCTTTCTTTCTCCGTCTCTGCTCTCTAAGGTGTGGTGTAAGAGATGGACAGAAGGTGTTATATGAAGAAAAAGGGTCAGCGTGACCCCCACACCTTTCTCTTTCTTCCTCTGTCTCTGAGATGAGCTCCAGAGGACACGCCACGTCTTACCACAACTTCAAAAAAATCGGTGGATTGCAGTCTCAATCGCGTACAAGCATTTTTTAAACTGTGGTTAAATGAACCCAAAGCAGAACAATAATGATCAAATGCTTAAATACATCTGCGGAATGTCTGATCTTTTTCTTGGCGTTGTACCTGGATTGCGTATCTTAGACCCACTTTTGCAAAACTTGAAATTCAATTGTCATTAATGAATACAAAATTCCCTGTAAAGTGTTTTGTTCACAGAATATCAACACATTGTTTTCATCAGAAGAGAAAATATTGTGACCTAGGTTGGTCTTATGGTCTTAGCTGCTGCCTCTGGAGCACATATAATGCTGCAGCATGGGTTTGATTCCGGTCCACTGCTATTTCAGAAATTATCTTATATTTTAAAATATGTAGGTCCATTATCTTTTCAACATACTTTCTATTTTGTTTTAGTTGTTTATGTTTACACTGAAAGTGTGTATTTGTATATTTTTTTTGTTGCACAAAACATTTAATCCTGCCACCTACCTGGACCCCTGCCACGACCCACAGTTTGGGAAGCACTGTTTGAATTAATGCTGTGTTTCTGCTTGCTGATGGAAAGTCAACAAGCCTATGAGCGGACCAGCCTATGTGTTGAATACATGGAAATGGATTGTGATGAGAATTGGATCCTGCACACAATGTGCTTACTTTCCATTTTCTTTTTGATCATGAATTACATTTCATTTGATTGTTTGGTGAAGTATGCATAAAAGGAGAGTATTTGCCCATAATTCTGCACATTTTAATTGTTGTATGTCCAATTGTGATCATTATGATTTAGTGACTGCAAATAAAATGTATTGATCAACTGGGATTTTTTTAAAAACAGGGTTACTTTCTGTTTTGTCAGGTTAGATTTATGAGAAATGTTTGTGTTAATCTTTTTTCATCAAAAGAGCATCCGTTGTGTTCTTTTGATGAATGTATTTGCAATTTTTATGGTATCATATAGTTTTGATGAATGTATTTATCAACTGCATTTACTGTTTTGCAAAAGGCCACAGAGTTCTGTGTCTCGAGTACACTATTTGGAAAATCAACAGCATTAAAAAAAAAAAAATCGTACGCGATTGAGAAAAACTGTAAGATAATAACCAAGGCTGTCTTAACGATCCCAGACTACATTAGCATATCCAGATGAGATTGATCATGGATTAACATCATTAATACACCCAGTAATCGTCACACATTCAGCAATGACCCACTTTCTAGGAGGTTAAAATAGTGAGATGTGTGAGGTAATCTGCTACAAGGCTATTCTGAAAATAATATAATATTATGACAGCATGTATGTATGTATGATGTGTATATACCGTGAGGGAAAAAAGTATTTGATCCCCTGCTGATTTTGAACGTTTGCCCACTGAGAAAGAAATTATCAGTCTATAATTTTAATGGTATTTGAACAGTGAGAGACAGAATAACAACAAAAAAATCCAGAAGAACGCATGTCAAAATTTTTATAAATTGATATGCATTTTAATGAGGGAAATAAGTATTTGACCCCTCTGCAAAACATGACTTAGTACTTGGTGGCAAAACCCGTGTTGGCAATCACAGAGGTCAGACGTTTCTTGTAGTTGGCCACCAGGTTTGCACACATCTCAGGAGGGATTTTGTTCCACTCCTCTTTGCAGATCTTCTCCAAGTCATTAAGGTTTCGAGGCTGATGTTTGGCGACTCGAACCTTCAGCTCCCTCCACAGATTTTCTATGGGATTAAGGTCTGGAGACTGGCTAGGCCACTCCAGGACCTTAATGTGCTTATTCTTGAGCCACTCCTTTGTTGCCTTGGCCATGTGTTTTGGGTCATTGTCATGCTGTAATACTCATCCACGACCCATTTTCAATGCCCTGGCTGAGGGAAGGAGGTTCTCACCCAAGATTTGACGGTACATGGCCCCGTCCATCGTCCCTTTGATGCGGTGAAGTTGTGTCATCTGACCACAACACTTTCACCCAGTTCTCCTCTGAATCATTCAGATGTGGATTGGCAAACTTCAGACAGGCATGTATATGTGCTTTCTTGAGCAGGGGGACCTTGCGGGCGCTGCAGGATTTCAGTCCTTCACGGCGTAGTGTGTTACCAATTGTTTTCTTGGTGACTATAGTCCCAGCTGCCTTGAGATCATTGACAAGATTCTCCCATGTAGTTCTGGGCTGATTCCTCACCATTCTCATGATCATTGCAACTCTACGAGGTGAGATCTTGCATGGAGCCCCAGGCCGAGGGAGATTGACAGTTATTTTGTGTTTCTTCCTTTTGCGAATAATCGCACCAACTGTTGTCACCTTCTCACCAAGCTGCTTAGCGATGGTCTTGTAGCCCATTCCAGCCTTATGTAGGTCTACAATCTTGTCCCTGACATCCTTGGTCTTTGGCCATGGTGGAGAGTTTGGAATCTGATTGATTGATTGCTTCTGTGGACAGGTGTCTTTTATACAGGTAACAAACTGAGATTAGGAGCACTCCCTTTAAGAGTGTGCTCCTAATCTCAGCTCGTTACCTGTATAAAAGACACCTGGGAGCCAGAAATCTTTCTGATTGAGAGGGGGTCAAATACTTATTTCACTCATTAAAATGCAAATCAATTTATAACATTTTTGACATGCGTTTTTCTGGATTTTTTGGTTGTTATTCTGTCTCTCACTGTTCAAATAAACCTACCATTGAAATTATAGACTGATAATTTATTTGTCAGTGGGCAAATGTACAAAATCAGCAGGGGATCAAATACTTTTTTCCCTCACTGTATGTAGCTTCACTGTCCAAATAAATATGGAGGGGAGAGTGTGTGTGTCTCAATTAACACACTATTGTACTAAAGCTACTGTAACACTCTGGCTCCGGGACTTTTGGATTTGAGCCAGGGTGTATTTGTTTTGTTGGGTATTTGTTGTGGGGTTGGTTGTAAGGGTGTATTCGGTTGGTTGTGTTTTGGGTGTGTTAATTGTGGTGTCGTGTGACTCCCAATCGGAGGTAACGAGTGTCAGCTGTCGGCTCGTTATCTCTGATTGGGAGCCATATTTAATCTGAATGTTTTCCTGTGGGCATTGTGGGTTTTTGTTCCAGGTTCAGTCATAGTCACTGTAGGACTTCACTATCGTCATTTGTTTGTTGTTTTCGTGGTTGCTTTTATTTGAATAAAGTCATCATGTTCACTCCACGCGCTGCGTATTGGTCCGCTTCCTCAGACGATCGTGACAGAAAAACCCACCAAAGAAAGACCAAGCAGCGTGTCCAGGAGCAAGGAGACTGGACATGGGAGGAGGCACCGGGCAAGGAGATAGAGAGGCTGGCGATGGCCCAGGTGGGCACATCGTGGTCCTGGGAGGACATGCTCGGAGGCAAGGGACCTTGGGGAAGGATCAAGGCCCTGGCGAGAGAGGAGCAACGGCGGCAGCAGGGCCATCGTCGGAGGGTCGTGAGTCAACCCCAGAAATTTTTTAGGGGGGGGCACACGGCATGGACGACGGGGCTGACGGAGGAGAAAAGGGGGAGTATCCAGGAGGCCACCAGGCCAGGGGTACACCGCCCTGTATGTCCTGTGCGGATGCCTCACACAGAGTGCGTGAGGGTAGGCATTCAGCCAGGACGGGTGGTGTCCGCTGTTCGCTCCAGGCCTCCTATCCGTCTCCACAGCCCGGTCCGGCCTGTTCATGCCACCCGCACCAAGTCTACGGTGTGCGTCGCCAGCCCGGTCCGGCCTGTTCCTGCCACCCGCACCAAGACTACGGTGCGCGTCGCCAGCCCGGTCCGGCCTGTTCCTGCCACCCGCACCAAGACTACGGTGCGCGTCGCCAGCCCGACCCGGCCTGTTCCTGCCACCCGCACCAAGACTACGGTGCGCGTCGCCAGCCCGGTCCGGCCTGTTCCGGCCACCCGCACTAAGTCTACGGTGCGCCTCAGACGGCCAGAGTCTGCCGTCTGCCCAACGGGGCCTGAACTGCCCGTCTGCCCAAAGCCTGCAAAGCCGCCCGTCTGCCATGAGCCATCAGAGCCGTCCGCCAGACCAGAGCCGCTAGAGCCTTCCGCCAGACAGGATCAGCCAGAGCCTTCCGCCAGACAGGATCAGCCAGAGCTTTCTGCCAGACAGGATCAGCCAGAGCCTTCTGCCAGACAGGATCAGCCAGAGCCTTCCGCCAGACAGGATCAGCCAGAGCCTTCCGCCAGCCATGAGCAGCCAGATCCGTCGGCCAGCCATGAGCAGCCAGATCCGTCGGCCAGCCATGAGCAGCCAGATCCGTCGGCCAGCCATGAGCAGCCAGATCCGTCAGCCAGCCATGAGCAGCCGGATCCTTCAGCCTGCCATGAGCCGTCCAGCCAGAATCCGCCAGAGCCAGCCAGCCAGGATCCGCCTCTTAGTCCGGTGCTGCCCCTTAGCCAGGTGCTGTCCCTTAGCCCGGTGCTGCCCCTAAATCCAGGTGGAGTAAGTTGGAGGGTGGTCATGTGGAGGAGGCTAGGGAAGCGGGTGGTGACTAAGGTGGGGTGGGGACCACGACCAGGGCCAGAACCGCCACCGTGGACAGACGCCCACCCAGACCCTCCCCGAGACTGTATGCTGGTGCGCCCGGAGTGCGCACCTTTAGGGGGGGGTACTGTAACACTCTGGCTCCGGGACTTTTGGATTTGAGCCAGGGTGTATTTGTTTTGTTGGGTATTTGTTGTGGGGTTGGTTGTAAGGGTGTATTCGGTTGGTTGTGTTTTGGGTGTGTTAATTGTGGTGTCGTGTGACTCCCAATCGGAGGTAACGAGTGTCAGCTGTCGGCTCGTTATCTCTGATTGGGAGCCATATTTAATCTGAATGTTTTCCTGTGGGCATTGTGGGTTTTTGTTCCAGGTTCAGTCATAGTCACTGTAGGACTTCACTATCGTCATTTGTTTGTTGTTTTCGTGGTTGCTTTTATTTGAATAAAGTCATCATGTTCACTCCACGCGCTGCGTATTGGTCCGCTTCCTCAGACGATCGTGACAGCTACTACTAAATAGGGGGCATTTCATTTTAACTGAATGCAGAGCAACACTGAATAAGACTGAACAGAACATGTCTTTCCAATCATCTTGTGGCTGTGCTGTTCATTTAGTCTTTCTATGAACTTCATATCGGCCCCAGAGTACTTTACTGTTCCAGGATCACCACTTACATTACATCAACTGTTCTAATTGTATATGTATTCAAGGGTCACTAGTGCCTTCCTGAATAATGACAACTCAGATGAATAATGACAACCCATATTAGATCATATCTGCTGTTTGCTGTCCTGCAAAGGGAATACGCATACTCCACTTTTGCATAAGGTATTATAGAGAACAAGCAACATTTATTAAATTACATTATTTAGCAGACGCTCTTATCCAGAGCGACTTACATGAGCAATTAGGGTTAAGTGCCTTGCTTAATGGCACATCAACAGATTTTTCACCTAGTCGGCTCGGGGATTAAAACCAGCGACCTTTCGGTTACTGGCACAACGCTCTTACCCACTAAGCTACCTGCCGCCCTATATTTATGTTGCTATCTAGCCTTCAAGTTTCCATTGTGTTCAGTTTTGAGAGTCGTTTCTCAACCTTGGGTTCTCTTTTCAGATCTCTGGCAGCTCCCTGCAACATTATGATTCATTTTGATATTCTATTTCATCTCTGGTTTAGGTGTATGGGTTTCAGAACCACGGACAGCTCTCCAAGTCAGTCAGAACCCAAAAGTCCTTGTTAGCTGGCATTACCATTTCAACGTTTACAATATATTAGAACACAAGCTTTAGGTAAATTAAGATGTTTACCTGAAAAAACACTTGGAATCTTGGATAAAAAACTTTTCACAGTGCGGATAGGAATTCCATTCTTCTCATCCTGCATGCGGGCTATTACGTCCTCCATCTGGAAGAAAAGAGAGAAGACATGATGTTAGAAATGATCAGTCGAAATATAGTCAGGAGACTGGGGAAAGTGGCTGAAATGAGTGAGTAAGACTGCTGTTGTGAATGGCCTCTGTGACACAGCTCTGGGCCGTATATTTGCAGCACACCCACTGGGCACAGACAGCAATTCAAGGTCTATTCCACGTTGGTTCAACGTAACAATGTTGATTCAACCAGTGTGTCCAGTGGGAAGACACTTCTCATATCAACGTCAGTTTATGTTATTGGATTAGTGATAATTTAGTTGATCAACTCTAATGGCAAAGTTTCTGCCTATGCATCTTAAAACAAACAGGACAAAACAAGATGTCACAAAAAAGACATCAGAGAAATATAAAAGGACACTGTGATGACTGAATCACACCTTCAAGCTAAAACCTAAAAGAAATGTGACATGACAACCTGGCTAAAAACAGACATGCCACAGAAAGGCAGATCTGAATCACAACTCTCCAGGATTGGAGCATTGCTCTGCGTTATGGCTCAGCTGCCCTGGTGGAAGGCCCTATTTCCAGAAACAGACAGGACAGAGTGAAGTGAAGCGTGTCCCGGATTTGTCAGCCTTCACGGATGGATGCCAAGAGATATCCCAAAGTAGCCCTCTGGCATAAATAAATACAGTGTAACAATGTGACACACACACACACATACACACAACGCAATGCCTGCTGTTCTATTTCTACTCTATAGACTTCAATGTACTTCCCATATACTCTATCATATTGGATAACTAATTGGTAACCGATAGCTAATTGGTAACCATTAAGCTTTGTTGGTTAGTGTTGGTTACAAAAGCTCACTTTCGACCCTCGTAGATTGCATTTAGTTCATTTGACTGGCTGCCCTGTGCCTCATCAACATTCCCCCTCAGTCTGTACAGAATCTTGACAACTACACTCCATAAAGATTTTCTTCTGGCAGCTGTCCTCTGGAAGGGGTTGTCACAGACAGGCCGTTGCCTGGACCGTATCTATGAAAGGAATTGCAGGACCACGTTGTCTGATGCCAAAGTTAAAGGGATATTTAATACAAATACATGGCCCTCAGGCTGAAAATAACAAACACAATAAGAAGGCCTCCTTGTGGAGACACCTTCACTCATGTTCTCCCAGGCCCAGAACCCAGGAGACCTGCAGCCCCACCCCATAGCACTCCACTATAAACCATTCCCAATGGTCACAGGTGCAGCTCGTCACCTGTGATGAGGGATAGAGGGAGGAGAGAGAGGGAACAAAGACAGAACAAATGATAGCGCAACATAATGACATTACATCTCCTATTCATACAAATACTTAAGAATAACGGATCAAGGTATAATTGTGAAAGTATGCATATAACTGTAAATTGATGAAATATGGATTATGATACTGATTTATCTACTGTCCAATAGAATAAAGGCTAAACACATAACAATAAATATTCATACATCCACTCTGTCATACTCAGCCCCCCTTCTAGATATAGATGGCAGGCACCCCCTGAAGGCCTCCGTTCACAGCAACATTACCATAATGTTATTCTTATAGTGGTAATTTGCAAAAGTGCTGTGGCTGTATTCTTAGCCTGAGTACCTGAACCTGCCATGTAAGTCTCATTTACCATTACCTAAGCACTGGATCTTTGTACAATAGAGTCTAAAATAGAGGTACTTAATGAGAAATGGTGTAGAAATGGTGTTCAATCATCAGATATGTCGTATTTAATTTAAGATCTTAAGGGAAGGCCAGGATTTTATTTTGAGTCATAATGGACTATTTTAATGTCCTAAGTATTTGATGACGATAACACAGAATCGAAATGCTGGATACAGTAGCACAGCAACCTAGGATGTACCAGCGTGTCAACTGAAATACAATATGGAACAGAGTAGAGCAGACTCCTCTGTAATCAATAACAGTAAATAAAACTGCCTCAAATATAGATATGTAAACACACAAGGTCTTATTAAAATCAATTCACCTGGGCAACCAAGACATGCACGTCACAACTATTTTGAGAAAATGGGACCAGAATCTTACAAAAAGAGCTTGCCTTATTTCAAGTACCCTGAAGCCGAAACCTATTGAGTAATTGGCTTGTAATGGACTGATAGAACACAGGCATAGATTATGAAGAGTTGTCGGGAGAGTATGGGGTTACAGAGATGCCTATCTAATGTGTATGTCCTCCCTCCTCAAAGGGTGCAACTGCTGCCAGACAGACAGAGGATCGAAAGCCATGCTGGACAGCTCTCATCAGATCATTCTGAGCAGTCTCTAACAAAACACTGTCACTATGACAACAGAGATCCTTATGTAAAAGACAGCTGCTACCAGTATTCACATTGCCAATAGATTATCCATACAGTAGCTAAATGACAGCAGGCACATTGAGAAATTACACTTCCTGACACCTTTTTAGAACTTAGTTAGATGATTCACTGAGCTAACCGGCAGGATAACAGAGTGATGATCGATACTTCACACTGTCTCTCCCTCCCACTGAATATTTTTGATTTAAGCTATTCATGAAGAAGAAGAGTGTTTCTCTCTTGTACTGACTGACTAGAACTACATCTTGCTGCCTTTCTACAGCGAATCGTCTGTTTTCTGAACACAAGTCTGTAAATATGAAATTACTAACAAAAGCTCAAAATATAATAAAGGCTACCACTGTGCTATTCCAACTACAGATGTAGGATCTTAATTTGATCACTCTTTTGTTGCTGAGAATTTTCCTGCACGGCAGGAAATGCAAACTTGTAGTATTTGAGTTTTAAAAAGGCTTCTAAAGTTTGTAATTTCCACTTTGACATTTCAGACTTGATTTGCCCTAACAAAAAATGTATCAACCCCTACAAAAATGTCCCTTAATTATAATCCACATAATAATTCACATTTCCTGATGTTGCAGGATTATTTGCCTGTTGTAGCAAACTGGCTCAAATGAAGATCCTACATCTGTAGTGTATACTGTGTCTCAGAATTTTCAGGGAGCACCAATGAGCATTTGAGACAAAAGAACAAACACTCACTTTTTAATGGAGCACTAGACTTTTTACTTTGCTTCATACAACTACTCACTTGAACTGCTCACTACCAGGACAAGAGAGAGAAAGGAAAGAGTGGGTTTCTTTTACAGCATCACCAGCATGGCAGTGGGACAATCATCCATCACAGAGGAGAATAATGGAGGAGCTTTTCATTTCCTTACAGTGGGCCTGCTGCTACCGTAGGGCTTTCCAGAAGCTTCATGAATTGCCCATTTAACGACAATGGCCTATTGTGGCAGGTTTGTGTTATCTTGTAAACATTTACGTTTTATACTGCATGATTGTAGATTTTGAATGAAAGCTGTGCATTAGGATTCTGTGTATTATGGGGCTTTAAGAACTGCTTATCCTGAGGGGAATGGAATTATCCAGCTGGTGTTATCTGAGGAGGACACAAGTGTAGATTTTTACACAGCTACAGACACCCTACACACTTCTATCACAGTGTTCTAGAAAAGCAACACTGTTGAGTATCAGAAATATTGTACAATAAATACACATTACGGAGCATCCAGGCAGATTTAATGCACATTTGAGTGAGAGTTGGTCATGGACTCTTCCTCTTCCTGTTCCATTTTTAAATCCTCCACTGCACTTAGAAACAGAGAATTGCTCACCAGTCCTCGGGCCTGATTTGTGACGTTGTGAGTTAGAGCATAGTTATGTTGACAAGTATATCAGAAACACAGTGTTGATCAGTGTGATGCGTTTGCATAATGTGGACTCATTCCAAAAACACAATGTTCTCATCATACCTTAGGTTATATGAGAAAGTAATATCTTCACTGGCAAAAACAGAACATAGGCTTGTTTGAGATCCTTATTCAAATGTAAATGCCATATATGAACAGATCTAGAGAATAGAGTAAAATATGAATAGATCGAATCTCTGACTTGGTGGCTATATCAGCTAAATCCATCCAAGACTGTGCCCTTGTTAATAAAATAATAAACATTCAAGCTCATATAGTGTAAATTATATGAAGAAATAAATTATTAATTTACTAGCCAATGTTATAGAGGTGTGCTGACCTAAGATATTAAAACGGTCTTAATTATAATAATTTATTATCAGCCTGTTTGGTATTCATAAGATAACTTTCTAGATCAGTCCCCCACGTTTTAGTAACCATTTTCGCCTAATTTCAACAGGATAATTCACTTACAAACATATCAGGCTTGAAGCTCGTCCTTCTCTCAGAGAACAGTCAAACATCATGATATGAGCTTACTGTTTGAGGGAGAGGCATCATCAAAACCCCAAATTATGAATGATTGAAAAATAGAAAACCAATCAACTACTTTGATCATCATATTTACATACCCTGCATGTGTCACAATAATATGCTGTATGTCTATCAATCGACCGATGAGCTTCATTAATCATATTCCATAATGCCACTCAGTGTCCAACTTTTCAAAATATGAAGTTAATAAAAATTTATGACATGTCATAAAGTCCAAATTCTATAACAGACATCTTCAGATTTAATATAAATTACATTTTACACCTGAAGCTTTCATCATCTAAACTGGGTATTCTGAGTGAAGTATCTGGTTACACAGATATTGATATTGCTCTGCCTCTGAAGCTAATAAAGATAAAAAAGCAATGAAACCAAGTGCCAAAAATACACTACTGCCTCTCCAAGGAAACCTAACCCCCCCCCCCCCCCCCCCCCCCGCTGCCACCCACATTCAAATGGCCATTACCTTCAGGACAGGAGGGAGAAGTTATTGACCTCCTAGTGACAAGGTTAGTGCAAGAATGACGTGAATTTTAAGTACCACTCTCTGTCTATGTCTCTTTGTTACTAAGGCAACATCGGAAGACTTAGTACTGCAACGACATTTGCCAGTCGTTCACAGGGGACGGAGAAGAGTGGGAGGGTACTTAGGTTCTATGAAGGAGAGCCACTGTACCAGGA